AACACCACTATGAACTATGACCTCACTCATAAACACATAATTAAATGAACAGTTCTATGATAGTGTTATCAAAAACTGAACAATATAATCATTACGATCTGCTCAGGTGTGTGCATTCGTTCAGTTAAATTACATCACACATTACCCAACAGGCTCTGCGGGAACCAGGATCCACACAACAATGGAGCTCGGATGTCAAACTACTTTCTTACAGGCACACACATACAGCTCAGGTATCTGCAGCAAACAACCATCACCAGAGGCGACACATCAGTGGCAATGAGGTTAAGTATTTACTGCAACCTCCTAATTCTTTTCTCTCTCAATCCAGTGCTGATACCTGGAGTCTGGGTATCTGCTGATACTGAAGAGTATCAATATCATACCAGTGCTCTATTTTTCCCAAATTTCAATCTACATACAACATATTGTATAAATCATTTCAATGTGAGGTTAACATGTGGTCAGGGAATGCTGTAGCACTAAAAACAGAGTCAGCAGTGCACCATGAATGAATGAATGAAACCAATAGTGGCAATGCTGAATTTTAATATCAATATAAATATTATTAGCCACATGTAAATTATAAAATTTGTTTATTAAAAAGAGCTTAAATTAAACAGGAATACTAATACATATACAGTACAGGCCAAAAGTTTGGACACACCTTCTCATTCAATGCGTTTTCTTTATTTTCATGACTATTTACATTGTAGATTCTCACTGAAGGCATCAAAACTATGAATGAACACATGTGGAGTTATGTACTTAACAAAAAAAGGTGAAATAACTGAAAACATGTTTTATATTCTAGTTTCTTCAAAATAGCCACCCTTTGCTCTGATTACTGCTTTGCACACTCTTGGCATTCTCTCCATGAGCTTCAAGAGGTAGTCACCTGAAATGGTTTCCACTTCACAGGTGTGCCTTATCAGGGTTAATTAGTGGAATTTCTTGCTTTATCAATGGGGTTGGGACCATAAGTTGTGTTGTGCAGAAGTCAGGTTAATACACAGCCGACAGACCTATTGGACAACTGTTAAAATTCATATTATGGCAAGAACCAATCAGCTAACTAAAGAAAAACGAGTGGCCATCATTACTTTAAGAAATGAAGGTCAGTCAGTCCGGAAAATTGCAAAAACTTTAAATGTGTCCCCAAGTGGAGTCGCAAAAACCATCAAGCGCTACAACCAAACTGGCACACATGAGGACCGACCCAGGAAAGGAAGACCAAGAGTCACCTCTGCTTCTGAGGATAAGTTCATCCGAGTCACCAGCCTCAGAAATCGCAAGTTAACAGCAGCTCAGATCAGAGACCAGATGAATGCCACACAGAGTTCTAGCAGCAGACCCATCTCTAGAACAACTGTTAAGAGGAGACTGCGCGGATCAGGCCTTCATGGTCAAATAGCTGCTAGGAAACCACTGCTAAGGAGAGGCAACAAGCAGAAGAGATTTGTTTGGGCCAAGAAACACAAGGAATGGACATTAGACCAGTGGAAATCTGTGCTTTGGTCTGATGAGTCCAAATTTGAGATCTTTGGTTCCAACCGCCATGTCTTTGTGAGACGCAGAAAAGGTGAACGGATGGATTCCACATGCCTGGTTCCCACTGTGAAGCATGGAGGAGGAGGTGTGATGGTGTGGGGGTGTTTTGCTGGTGACACTGTTGGGGATTTATTCAAAATTGAAGGCACACTGAACCAGCATGGCTACCACAGCATCCTGCAGCGACATGCCATCCCATCCGGTTTGCGTTTAGTTGGACAATCATTTATTTTTCAACAGGACAATGACCCCAAACACACCTCCAGGCTGTGTAAGGGCTATTTGACCAAGAAGGAGAGTGATGGAGTGCTGCGGCAGATGACCTGGCCTCCACAGTCACCGGACCTGAACCCAATCGAGATGGTTTGGGGTGAGCTGGACCGCAGAGTGAAGGCAAAGGGGCCAACAAGTGCTAAACACCTCTGGGAACTCCTTCAAGACTGTTGGAAAACCATTTCAGGTGACTACCTCTTGAAGCTCATGGAGAGAATGCCAAGAGTGTGCAAAGCAGTAATCAGAGCAAAGGGTGGCTATTTTGAAGAAACTAGAATATAAAACATGTTTTCAGTTATTTCACCTTTTTTTGTTAAGTACATAAATCCACATGTGTTCATTCATAGTTTTGATGCCTTCAGTGAGAATCTACAATGTAAATAGTCATGAAAATAAAGAAAACGCATTGAATGAGAAGGTGTGTCCAAACTTTTGGCCTGTACTGTATGTGTATGACTGGTGAGGGGGAGTCAGTGTTAGGAAGTGACCTCATTTATCATCCTTGAGCCTCAGGGTAGAAGCTCTTTCTGAGCACAATCTATTGTGCATTAAGCCAAACAAGCCACTATTTGCAGGGTGTTGCAGTCATGTTTGGTGCAGCGATGTTCCCCATCAGGATGCTCATGATGGTGAGGTTAAACCCAGAATTACCTCAAGCATCTGGTGAAATAGTCTGCCTTGCCAATGACAGAGAAACTGTGTTTACTGCAAATTGGTCATGTGCTTCATAGAGTGTGCATCTGCTTCAACAGTGATACAGATCTGGTGTATCAATTGGTGTGTCCCATTGACCCACCTAATATTGCGTACACCCTTGTTGTTATGATGGGATGGACAAATTATTTGAAACACCTCTCATAATACAGAACTTGTATACTTTGACAGCACCAAATGAGCATAGAGGTGAATGAACAACTATCTAAAACAGTTTAAACAAAAACTGTATATTATGACCTTCATGAAGGAGGATTTATTGCAGAGTTACTTTATTAGACTGCAATGGCTTTATCCAGATGGACTTTCTGTACAGTATGCCAGCCACTGAGTGTTTGAGGGTGTCATGTCACTCTTACCCAAATGCTCTGCTGTCGGGCAAGTTGCTGTGTGCTTTGATTCCTGGAGGAATGACCCGCACCTCTGTGATTAGCACCCCGCAAGGAAACCGCACCACATCCACGTTGGTTAACTGCAGTGCGTTAAACATCATAATTAATACAACCATTTAGATAACAGAATGTCTTCACTTACCATACTAATCACAACTTAATATAAAGACCAGAATGGTCACTTTGGCTGCCTGCTATGAGGTAAACACCGCCAGGTTAAGACTTTACAGTTAGCATTAGCTACTCAGCTAACTAGCAAACAAACTGCGCAAGGATGCAAAAGACAACAGCTCAGTGTCGTTCTCTGATAATGTTGATGAAAATACATTTGACAAATATTTCCAGGAACATTAGCTGTACATTTAGGCAACACTGTAGTGAAATAAAAGCTGTGAGTTGCAACGTTGTCATAACAATCATTATACTGCTGCTAATGTTAGCCATGTTGACATCGTTAGCTTGGAAGTTTAGCATCATTCTCCAAAACTCTTTATTAAAACCGATTTAAGTATTGAATGCATGCAGCTGCAAAGTAAATATACAACAGGGTGGTAATGTGTCAGAAATATTACCTCCGCACTTTGGTGCTTAAACGTATCTAAAAAAAGAAGCTCCGTTGAGGTGTCCCCCGCCATCGCTTTCTTGCTCTCTGTCCGGCCAGGGGTACACTTCCGGGATAGTGATTACTTCCGGGGCATGATTTACAGCGCGAGCGCTCCTCTGACATGAACACAAACAAATGAATATAGGAAATAGATTTTTATTTCTTTAATTTAAATTATTATTATTATTAGAAAATTTAAAAAATCAAATCTAAAATAGATTAGTTAATCAATACATTGTTATTTTTATTTTTACCATTTTATTGTTATTATTATTGTTATTATTATTATTACTGTTGTTGTTGTTACAATTAATAATATGATTAATAGCTCCATATTTCATATAAAAAAGTCTACTTTACAATAACTTTGTATAACAATACACTTTAACTTTTCAGACAATATAGATTTTTTTTTACTTCAATTTTTAAAAAATATTGAACATAAAACCGGTACATTTGTGACAAAACATGAACAAATGTAAATAAGAAATAGATATAAATATTCATATTCAAAATATAAATTAAAAGGAACGTAAAAAAAAATTTAGAAAAAGAAATTAAAAGCAATCTAATTCAGATTACTTGATTATTAAATATCCTCATTCTTATTTTTATTCTTACTATTATTATTGTTATTATTATTATTATCATTGTTGTTAGACTGCAGGAAAATCATAGGCTAAAGCTGTAAGACTATTTATAATTGTATAAATTTAATATCTACATCTATCATATAATAAAGTATATTACAATAACTTTGTTTTTAATGTACCTTAACTTTTCAAGAATATTTATTTTTTACTTTAATCTCTAAAAAATTAGACATAAAACATACATTTATAACATGTACTTAAACCAATGTAAATAAGTAATATACATATTTATATTATGCTGAATAGAAAGTAAAAGGAACGTCTATTTAAATCTACTTTTTATTATTAATGTTGTTGTTGCTGTTAAACTACAGGAAAATCATAGGCTAAGGCTATGAGCCTAATCATAATGATATAATATTAATATCTATATCACATAATAAAGTATATTGGAATAATTTTGTTTTCAATATACTTTAATAGTTCAAATATATTTACTTTTTACTTTAATATCTAAAACAAGTATTCAATATAAAACAGGTACTTTAAAAAAAAAAAGATAGGCTAAAGGAATCACAGTGGCCAAACTCCTGAATTAATATGGAGCCGAAACTTTTTGATATTTTGGGCGCTGATTATTCAACTCAGGTAACTTGTAATAGTTTTACCCGTCATGTAAATATCCCACATAAAAACACGTAAAAAAATAGATATATATATATAAATCTAGAGATATTTCTGTCCTCCATGGTCTGCCACGTCCTAATCTGTTCACCACCTGAAGGAGGGAGGGGGCAGGTACAGAGTCACGTGGTCACACAGGTAGATGCACTAAAAAACGAGAAACGTTCAGCCATTACTCCGCGATGGTGACTGCGGGAGGCTTCACATAAAACCTAACACGCGACGAAACCTGGATTTACGGACCTCACCTTTACGCTCAGGTGTCAAAGTAAAGGTGTTTATACCTCTCGGCTCCCGCGTGCGTGTCCTCTCCGGCTTATCTGCAGTTACCGTCCTTTACTTTAGTGCAGTATTAGAGTAGTTTTTTGTTGTGTTTTTGGGCTGTGTTTGTGTTCAGATGACGGCGCAGGTAGACTACCTGGTGGTGGTTTTCACCGCCACATCTGGCGCGAGCGGAGAGCTGCTGGGATCCGACGAGAAGGAGCTCGTGCAGTTGGTTTGGCAGCTGGTGGATGTAAAGAACAAACAGGTAAAAACTCATTACTACACTTCTTATTACAGCTAATTATTGTTATACTTAAGCAGGAAATGTGCTGGTGAATAAAAGAGTGGGCAGGTAAACAAGTGTAAATATGGAAATAGACTCAAACACAAACGACAGCCGTTTATAATAATGTTGTGACTCAGGTGAGTAAACATTTATGAGCTGAATAGACCCTGAAGTTCAGTACAATGGGAGGACAATTGTTTTCCACAAGCTGATGGACAGTTAACATCAGTTATATAGTGTCAGTAACTCTGAAACATCTACTGTGCTTCACTGAAACTGTAAATTAAATATTCTTGTAGTTTAGACACACTGTTTTTAACATGCAAATATTATAACTGTTAATATATATGTATAAATTGAGAGTAACATCACATTTACTTGACCAATAAAGCTAATTTGAATTCTGACTATCTTGTCCTAGTTCTGTCTACATTGTAAGATGTTATGTCACAGCCATTTAACGCTATTATATCAACCCATGTCTTGTGAGTTTCTATATAGGCTTCTGTTTCAAGACTGACGTGTCTTATTTTTCCCTGAACCAGTTGGGCAAGGTGAATGAGCTCCTCATTAAGCCTGACCTCTCAGACTTGACAGAAGAAAAAGAGGTGGAGGATGTGGTGGAGGAGAGCGAGGAAGAGGAGAACAGATCCGGAGCAGATAATGTCTCCACCGCCACAAGTCTTGAGACCGCATTAAACCTGGTAATAACCTCACTAGAAGTCACTTGAAATAAGTGCTCTTATTACACAGTAATTATGGAGACACCTGAGGATAGATCATGAACGTCTTCATTTCTTTTTTGCAGTTTCATCTACAATTGACAAATGAGGTGAACAGCGCAGGCGCAGGCACGTCAGTGTGTTTGTGTACAGACGGGCAGCTCCACATCCGTCAAGTTATTCACCCCGAGGCCGCGAGCAAGGTGAGCGAGCTGGGTGGGTAAACGCCTCACAGCCAGGGCGGATGTTCAGCTCAGTGCTGCAGGAACCTTCAGTGCTCACACAGTCACAAAGGGATGTGTTGTGTCAGCACTGTGCTCCCAGGTTGAATTTAATGTTAACGATGAAAGTCGATCCACTCATGCAAGCCTGTCTAATGACACACGCCCATGCACATACCGTACCTGTGCACATAAAACGCCACCTACACAATGAAGCTGATGAAATTCTCCCGCATGTCTTAAACCTGCGTGAAGTGTTACACAGAGATTATTCTGCTGGCTTGAGCAAACAGCGATATGATGGCAATAAAAGGGCAGCTGTTGACAGGCCACATGTTCACATCCTTTCATTTCACTTCTTCCCTCCTCAGAACATCCTGGTCCCGGACTGTTTCTACTCCTTCTTTGACCTTCGGAAAGAGTTCAAGAAGCACTTCCCCACATCTGACCTCAAGGCTTTGAATGTACACATCATGGCAGAGTGTATCCTTTCAGAACATGTCACCTGTTGACGTTTGCGCCAGTGAATGTCTGTGAACTATGCTGTTTTTGGACAGTTTTAGGTTCAGCTTGATCTCTTGAGCACACACATTGCTCAGAAACACTCACCATGCATGTCAGAAGTTTAAAAGCCACGGGTGTTGGCTGCAGGACTAGAGGTTTTGAAATGCAAATAGGGAAACAATGGCAGCACCTTACTGAGCACTCGGTGAACAAGTGTGTGTTTAGCCAACAGGGCAAACCCCACACACCCACTGGAACAGGATAACTAACGTGTGTGTGTGTGTCTTGCCTCGCTTGCTTCTTATTTACCAGCCACAACAATGTTGCAATGGCTGGTATTGTTTTCACCTTGAGAGTTGGTGTTTGTCATCATGGCAAGATGTGGTGTTGGAGACACTTATTGTAGCGGGAGCTACCACAGAAATGGTTGTGAGTATTTTGTCTGTCTGTGGACACACTTTGTCACCGCTGTGGTGTCACAACCGTGCAAGATGCAGTCACGAAACTTTATAGGTGTGTTGTTCACATGCAATCAAGATCAAATTCGAAGATGGGTGTGGTTTGAGCAAGGGAGTGGGTAGTAAGGGGGGTAGTAAGGGGGTAGTCATTAAGTCGGAGCTGGGAATGACACACCCACAGCAGTCACACCTGAGTTGAACACATTCCAATACAACTAAGATGTTGTTAGCAATACCAGCTGATAAGAACACACCACGCTGTGTTTTGAACATTCAAATACCATAGCAACATGTCCACAGATAGAAGTTGGACAGTACTGTGTGTATGATTGTTTTAAGGTGATAGTTCCGATCTTTGAAGTAAGGTTTTATAGGGTATTTTATCCACAGTCGGTGTATTACATACAGTAGACTTCAGTCGGCACGTTTGGAGAAGCAGCAGGAGCATGGACACAGATGCATTACCGTTCCGTCAGACAGCCCACTTCAACAGACAAGATGTTAACGGCTTCTGCTCCCCACCTATGCTGTCGTCAACGCCACCAGACTCCATTGACAAAAACAGTCATTTTAGCTTGCATAACACAGGAGCTGCTGGTCTACCGCTGCTTTGATCAGTTAGTCAGTTTGTGTAATTGTTGCTTCTGTGTTTAGCAATGTTAAATCACTGTTTTTCTCAATGGAGTCTGGCTTTGAAAATAGTGATGAAACAACTTAATTTTCCCATCAGAAATAACTGTCTGATAATAAGGTAAAGCAGTGAAAATATTCTAAATATAGCATAAACTTATAGCGTATTTATTTTTTTAGGTGGCCAAAACACATTTTGTTGCTAACCCCTCCACAGCAGTACATTGCCTAGCCTCCATGTTGTACTCCAGACTGCTTCTCCAACTGACATCTACTGTATGTAATATACTGTCTATGGATAAGTTCCCCACTTTAAAAGATCTGATTTATCCCTTTAATGAAACACAACTATGACAGAAGTACTACTAACAGTATATTACTACAGCTTTCACTGCTTTTAATGCCCGAAGCAGCCATCTTAGAATTTAAGGTCGAGGTCGCTGAGGTTCCTCTGGTTCTTCGTGGCAGAGACGCGACTTCATGAGGCGTTCCAGTTGAAATTTTTGACTTGGAGCTCAGAAATTCAGACTTCCTTGTGCAAATGAAATGTACAATAAGAAGTAGGGAAGGGGCCGTTGTTCCCCCCACTTAACACCCTTGGACCACTTTTATTTTAAGTTTATATCATGTCTGGAGGGATCCGATCGCAAAATTGTCTCTAATTGTGCCTTCTTTCTGTTATCATTATTTGTTCATTTTGCACTTGTGTGTGACTCATCATACAAAAACCTTTTTGCTGTCTCCGCACTGTTAGACTTTTTTCTCTTTTAGTTGTATATTGTTTGCTTTCCTTGACCGCCTCCTCCTCAGCTCTTAGTATACCTGTTGATGTGCCCGCCATGTGGGATCCCTCAGCCACACTGGATCCGTCAGCCATATTGCCTCCAGAGGCAGCAGTGCAGCAGGTCCAGATTATGGGCAGCATTGTCCTTGCCCTGCTTTCTGAGCCATTCAGTGAGTAAACTCTTCGTGGTTTTATATAACCGTGAAACATTAGGGATGAGTCAGTTAGTTTGACATAAATTCCTCAGAAAAGTGTGTCACTTTAAGAGCACTGTTAATATTTTAGGAAATTAGAGCTGAAGCAGAAAATGAATCAGCAACTATTTTTCCTTTAGTTATTCCACTTAGAAAAGCCTGTTATTTGATGGTCTCAGCTTCTTCATTGTTGGGACTTGCTGTTTTTCTGTCGTATATGATAGTAAATTGAATATCTTTGAATTCTAGACTATTATTGCTTTAATTTCTGGCATTTTCACTGCTGTCTGACATGCTCTATGTCAAACATCTAATCAACAAACAGAGATAATAACTGGCAGATTCACCTGAAGTGAAAATATTTGTGAGTTGCAGCCCACAAGTGGTTTTCTCTTTATATAGAAACTCCAAAATATAGTCTAATTTTCACCCGTTAGACTGTTATCTTGTTGATTAGAAAGTTCTATATTTAGGTTCACTCATGGGATCTAATCTGTAATCTCGTTTTGGAAAACCAAGCTGTTGCTTTCCCATTACAGACCACACGTTTTCTACCCAGGAGAGAGTTAGTGAGAAGTTTGAGACTGGCACTTGGTGAGTAAAGTTTGTTCAAGATAAATATTCTTTTTGTTCTCTGCCTCTGAATTCAACTTCAAGTCCACTTCTGCTGTGCTAATGTCTCTATGTGTGTGTGTGTGTATGTGTGTGTGTGTGTGTAGCAGTAAGATGGAGAAAGTGAGTGACAACACAGTGATCAGAGCCAGAGGGCTGCCGTGGCAGTCTTCTGATCAGGACATTGCCCGATTCTTCAGAGGACTCAACATTGCCAAGTATGTTGATGCTATATTATAACTGCATTCTCATTTATGGAGGGTCAACCTGCTGTTTACATAGGGTTTAATGTCCTCTATGTTGCTCTGTATGTTGTGTAGAGGAGGGGCTGCGCTGTGTCTCAATGCTCAGGGGAGGAGGAACGGAGAAGCTCTTGTTCGTTTTGTCAGTGAAGAACACAGAGACCTGGCGCTGCAGAGACACAAACACCACATGGGCAACAGATACATAGAGGTAACCTGTCTGAATTGGTATTAAATAAAGACATCCTATGCAGGATTTCATAAAAAGAAACAATGTATTGACTCATGCAGATGTAATCCCTCATCACTTATGACCCACTAGAAGTGTGTGGCAGTGTGTTTTTCTGCAGAGACTCTGCCCTCTACCTGTATTTCCTTATTTCTTGTTACTTTCATGCCTGGGACGTTTTTGGGACTCAGGTGAGGTCGGGGCTTTATAAAGAGGTAGCGACCAGGTGCCAGACCTTAAGCAGCAAGCATCCAAAAGAAACAGCGCTGAAAAAATGCAGATATAGCAAGGCGAAACGCCCAACGACAGTGACTCTGGGGTTGGCTTTGACTGTCACTTTTGTTAGCAAGCGTGTGTACAAACAGTAACCAACAATCCTGCATAGTATACCTTTAAGTAAATGAGCTACACTACTTAATCACCTATGTGTTTTCATTTATTCCAGCTACGCCTATAGTGACAGTAATTCTTAATTTCTGTCTTGTTCCTTTCTGATGGCAGGTTTACAAAGCAACAGGGGAGGACTTCCTGAAGATAGCAGGAGGTGAGAAGATACAACCATTTGTAATATACAGTATTTTGCCTTTCCAGGAACAAATTGAGACATGTCACCATGACTTGATGCAGAAAAGGCACAAATTGGCAGATAAAAATTCCCCAGAATGCAGAAAATGAAGTGTTTGATGCTCAAAATTTTCTGGCAATGGATCCCAAACCCCTTGTTTTATATGTGTCCCCCCAATGTTGAAAGAAACCTACGGCCTGGGTATCAGAACTTAAAGCTACAGCGTGATCATTTCTGCTTTTAACTTGTGGTTAAAATTGTGTGTCTGTGTCCGCCAGGTACCTCCAATGAAGTAGCAATGTTCCTGTCCCGTGAGGACCAGATCATTGTGAGGATGCGAGGTCTCCCTTTCACCGCCACACACGAGCAGGTGCTTGCCTTCTTCTGCCCCGAGGAGGGCCTTAAAGAGACGTGTCCAGTCAGTGGTGGGAAGGACGGCATCCTATTTGTTCGCTATCCAGACGGGCGGCCCACTGGCGATGCCTTTGTTTTATTTGCCTGTGAGGAACACGCCCAGTGTGCCCTGAGGAAACACAAGGAGATCCTGGGAAGGAGATATATCGAGCTTTTCAAAAGTACAGCAGCAGAGGTCCAACAGGTATGTCAGGGTGCCTGCCTGGATGTGGGTGTGCAAAGTGGATATTTGTGTGCATGTGTTCATTTTTAACTTGTAGAAACTCTTCCTCATATATCCCCTTATTTGAATTGATGAATGTTTGTTCTGTTTTGTCCTCCTGTTTGTTTCTGAGGATTTTAAGGAGCTGTTTGAGTTTGTGTATGCACACTGTGTGAGTGTGAGTGACAATGTGTGGGTGTGTTTCTCCTCAGGTAGTTGTATTGGAGTAGGGCTTATGGGTGGGGACCTGCCTAACAAGGTTGACTGTGTGTGTGTCTGTTTCCCTTAAGTATGTAGGTACACACAAATACTGCGTGAGAGGTCTCTCTTTCTCCTTTGTCGGTCTTCCTCTGTCTTTCTCCCTCTCTTGTGAGGTGAACAGATGTGGACTAATTTTCTTATCTTCGCGGACCGATAAGCTCACGGCCCACATCCATATCTATGCAGAGGCTTCTCCTCATGCTTTTATGTAGGACAGAGAGACTGATGTGTTTTATTGGCCCTCTCCAGAAATGCAAACAAGCCAGCGTCTGTCTGACATTGCAACACACCTTTAAACACAACGTGGACATGTCTTTGCTGTGTGCTAAATGTTGGCCTATACTGCATGTTTATCAGTGTGTATGAAGTTTTTTCATTCTTCAGTTTTTACTGATGATAGTTAGTGTGTGTTATAGTGTCTGAGTGTATTATTTTATCCTGAAAATGATCCTCTAAAGAGGAGAAAGACTAACTAAACTAGACGAAAATCAGTTCTGCCTCATTGTCAGTCTTTGCTGCAGGCAGAATATGTTATTTACTGTCTGTGTGTTTTAGGTGTTGAACCGATACTCGTCAGCCCCTCTGATCCCCGTGACCCCTGCCCCCTTGGTGTCAATGCTGCCCTCAGTGTCTCTCCTGCCCCCTCCTGTTGGTATAAGGGACTGCCTGAGGCTAAGGGGGCTGCCATACACAGCGAGCATAGAGGACATTCTCACCTTCTTGGGCGAGTTTACACAAGATATCAGACCACATGGCGTGCACATGGTCCTCAACCAGCAGGTACATGCCGCAACCGCACTGACACACCCTTGAACTGACATGCTCTCTGACACAATCCTGTAGAGTAATATCTTACTGTCTCTGTCTCCAGGGTCGCCCATCAGGCGACTGCTTCATCCAGATGACCTCTGCAGAGCGAGCTATTCATGCCTCACAGCGGCTCCACAAACACATGATGTCCAGCCAGCGTGGGGCCAACAGCCGCTACGTGGAGGTGTTCCCCTGCAGCGCAGAGGAGATGGGCCTGGTGCTGATGGGAGGCTCGCTCTCACACACACATACACACACACACACCCGGAACAGGAGTGGGACAGGGCTCAGCCCGCCGCCATGTAAGTCCAGACGTAAGTGCTGCTGGGAGCTGGGGGTGCTTCGGGACTGCAGGGTAGGTGGGCTCCTGCCGTTGGGGGCAGGGTTGCTGGGTTTTCTCCAATCTAGTACTGTGGGAGGTAGGGGACATCTGGTCTGACCGGGAGGATGCAAAACTGTGTCTGTGAGAGTGTGTGTTGGCGTGTGTGTGTGTTTGTGGGATACCTCTTTGTAATTTAGTGAGAATAAATCACCCATCTGCATGCACTGAGAAACCTCATGTGTTAACTGTTTGTTCTACCTTTTCACCTGTGTTCACAAATTCTGATTGTAGTTGATCTTCTTCAGCGGCATGTTTGTCACTCATTCTTAATTTTATCACTTTACCACTGCTTGATCATAAAGGGTTGGAAAAGTGTAAGCAAAACAGCCAGTCTGTGATATTTCAAAGTGGCTTACAACTCTCCAGTCTTATCAGATTGGTAGTGGTGGTTGTGGGATTTAGCCTCAGTAGACCGGCGCACCTCAGGTGTGTGAGCGTCTTCTGTGCTTGTCCAATCAGTGGAGCTGTGGGAAAGGTGGGCAGAGCTGAAACGCTGGTGCATAGAAATGTTGTTTGTTTTCCGTGTCTGTAGTCCTCCACCATGAATGTGCACTCGTGCGTGTCTAGTTTTCAAAAAGAGGTCTGATGTTTGTGAGTTGTTCAATATGAAGTGCAGATGTTCCATTGAGTCAACAGTACACATCACAGGGACTCAAGGCTAGACATGTGTGGGTAGTCTATGGATTCCTGAGTAGGGGTGGGAATTGAAAACAGTTTCCAGTTGGGAACCGGTTCCAAATTGTCCGATCTCATTGTAATCATATGCCTCAGAGCTTATCACTTCCCTTTATCGATGCTGGCATGTTTTTCTGACAGCAAAACAATGACGGCAAAGTCATGTGTCTAAGGTGCTGGAAACTTGTAGCAAGAAGGAGTCATGGCGGAGAATAGGAAATGCCCCAAAGCTCAGCTTGACAACAGTGCTGCTTGTAGAATCTGTAGAATTATCATTTCAAGTAAGGGAGCAAACACCAGCAATAAGCCGAAATGTCTGTCTATGCAACGTGAGCTTAAACATCAGGAACGCCATGAATCTGACACTACTGTACTGTATGTTCCGCTGCCTCCCAACCAAGGGTAAATAGCCTCTTAAAACAACATTAGTGCCACGCAGGCAGGCTGAGCAGTTTCTTTCTTTGACTAAGAAAGCCTGAATGAAAAACAAATGCTGTACAAATACTCTCTCATCTCATCCACACTGTGTTTCCACTCAGAGATAATACAACAGTAGTGTGTGTGTGTTGATATGGAAAACCTTTGTGGTCCTACTTTTTTTGTACCCAGAAAATTGATCAGGAATCAGTAAAGAATCGAGCCGATAAGCAGGCTCGATAATGGCATTGATAACAGTAAAATTTAATAAATTCCCATCCCTGTTCTTGAGAAAAAATACATGTTAGATAGAGAGCAAGTCCCTGTTCCACATAAAAACATACCGAGCCCGTAGCCATAAACTCAGACAATATCAGACAGCACTGATAGGCCTAAAATCGTATAGAACGTAAATTGGGTCTTATTATCTAATTGTTTTTCTGCTGAATTCATCCACAACCACTTCTGGCATCCTAACGATATCTCTGTCCTCTGAGGGCAATGTTGCTCTCATTTTGCTACATAGGAAATATAGATGCATTTATCAATTAGACATGTGTCAGGTGCTGAGTAATGGTGGTCATTGTTTGCACGTTTGCATGAGCGCCTCTCTCAGAAACAAACAATGACCAGACTTCCCCATCACCACTCTCTGTTTCTGTTTTTGTTTGATTGTTTTTAAGTATTTTGTTTCTCCCTCTGTTCTCTCCTCTCCAGGTTTATCTCCACCGTCCTACTCCTTTGCCCCTGCTCCACCTCTCATGTCCACAGAGGCTGCTGCTGCTGCCCTCTACCCTCCCATCGGTCAGGTGTTGCTGGCCCCACGCCCCCTGCCACCGGGACATGCCTACTACCCCGCTTCAGCTCAGCTATACATGAACTACGCAGCCTATTACCCGAGGTAAGCAGTGATGGTCACAGGTGTACACAGACAGACACATGCTGGCATCCAACTTTTAAAAATGTTCTCAATCTCCCAATCTTAAACCAGTTCTCTTAGGAATGGAACGATATAAGAGTTTAACGCAGATCACGATAAAAAATACTCCCAATAAGTTCATTGTGAATTTTTCTGGTATAAGAATAATTGTGAATATTGAGTCCAGCTCCACCCAAAGAGACTGCTGGGCAACCAACAGTAAAAGACACTCTGTAAAAACAGGCTGTGTCCACATCAACTTCAAAAAATGTAAAAGATCTCAAACAAGCATCGGCATGTTTTATATCAAGAGATATGATGCCATTTCAAAAAAGTTTGGTTGTTTTTTTTTGTTTTTTTTTAACTTAAAAGGATGTTCACTAAAAAAAGATGTGGGTCATATCTGTGATGCAAAACTATTTGTTTCTTTATATAAGGTAAAGTGATTTAAGCATGTTTTAGTTCCATTTTAAGCGTCTTAAGCACATTTTGATGATTATCAGGATAATATATCAGGATAATTGTGACATGAAATTTTCCGATTTACCCATGCATCCCTCAGATTGTTTGTGACAGGCTTCTTTAATATTTGGATCAAGCAAAACACCCCAGAACTTTACTCAGTTTAAATACTTTCAGTACTTTTGTGTGATATTGATGCTAACATAATGTTGTGCTGTTTCATGATATCTTGCTTCAGTCCAGCCCCCACAAAAAAATGCCACATGCAAATTCACTGTACGTGAAAGTAACATATATAATGAACCTTTTCAGAACTATTACAGATCGATTTAAACAGCAAAAGTATTTCACTGCAGAGAGGAAAAACTAGGCTGTCTGTGCGGCATTTGCTTTTGCTCAAGAGGTAGAAAGTCTACAACTACCAGAATGCACTGCAGTAACCAACCAATAAACGCTCCCACTGGTAGGTGATGTAGTGTGAGCTTGGCAGTTTTAAAACAGGAAACAATATGGCAGCTGGCTGGTTTCTTAAAACGTTGTAGGTGAAAAATAGGCAATGCAGAATCTTGGTTCATATTTAATCAGCGCTGTTAAGTTGTAGTGTTTGATCTCAGTTTACTTAAGAGTCCATTTTTACAGGAAACAGTATGGCGGCCACTTCCTGTTTACAAAGTCTTCTTTTATAGATAAACAGTGCAATAAAATATGTTTTCGAAAACACTGTAGATGAGAAATTGGTAACACAGTAAGAGAATCTGCTTAGTTTTATGGTTTGATCTGAGTTTGGTCTGAGAGAGGCCAGGCTCTGTCTGTATCCACTTCTTTGTGTCCATGGTGGCGGGCATATAAAAATGCCAAGTACAACCTGTAGTTGAAGCAACAGCCCTCGAGCCAAAGAACACCCGCCTGATGACAAGAAACATGCATGAGCTGAGAGATAAGCAGGGAGATGTGCTGTTGAGATGGAGGGAAGTTTACCACAGTTCATTTACACATACTACCCACATTGTTAAGATACAAAGCTGGTTGAAAATCAGCAAAGTGTCCCTTTAGGAGCTAGCGGACTTTCTTGCCCTGAACTGAACCTGTCAGACAACTTGTGTTCAATTGCGATCTGTTTGAGTAAGTGAATAAGAAACATAACCATTATTGTTTACATGTTTGATTTCCTGAGCCCTCTGTTTGCATAGGTATTATTATGGTAACTTGAAGAGCGTGAGCGCACCAAAACAATTCAAGATCTAGTTACATGTTATGTATACTGGCGAGCCCTTAAAAAAACTAATTTTTCCCTTTTTTTTTTACTGTGAAATAATAACGAATGTCAAAAACTGCTCAGCAATTTATTTGGACTTTAACAGTTCGCAAGATACCCTTTATTGTATCTGGCATTTTATTGCATGCACACCAAAAATAGACTCTAAGAGGAGCAGTTTGGTTAAAATGGATCTTGGCAAGGGGAACGGCCAGGACAAGGGTAGTTAATAACTGAACACTGTGGTATCAGCGTACTTGGTAAACATCAGTGACCTCTGTTTCTCCCTGGTCAGCCCTCTGTCATTGAGAAAACATTTTATAGACGACGCCCAAAGTTACGCCTGGTTCGTGATTCATACCTACTTTGTTTGCTAAGAAACATGCAGCCTTTAAGTTATGCTGTTTTCTATTTGTGGATGTTTTCCTGATAATAGTCTGTCTGTGCCTTCTCTCCAGTCCACCTGGCTCACCTACCACCGTAGGCTTCTTCCCCTCCCCCTCATCCCTCTCCTCCCCAGGGGGGTTGGTGCGCATGCCGGGTCTGACCTACAACAGCAACGGAGTCAAAGACCTCATTAATGCAGTGCAGGGATACCAGGTAAGAGCCTGTTTTCTTCAGATGCACCATATATGCGTAATAGCAGGTTATTAACACAGCTCCTATACATGCAAATACCCCCAGAGCTCACACACCTCTCTGTAGGATCCAAGTGTTGTATTGAAATCCTCTCCTGTTGTGGGTGTGTATTGTCAGGCATCCACTGAGTTTGCCCCGAGGCTATCAAACTAGTTTATCCTGTCTACTCTCCCTGTTCTGTCGCACATGCACTGCTGCTTGCTTAGACTTGAATGGGAGGAACTGGAGTCTTATTTGAACTTGGAAGAAAGTGAAGAATCCCAGTGATATGATCCAAAAGAGTTTATATTTAATGAAGAGACAAACTTGGAGTGAGAATGTGCAGTATTTTTCTCTTATGAACAAACTCCTCTTTAACCCCCAATGCTGGAGTTCACAGGTCCATGTGGCCTTAAGGTTTGTGTCTGTGGTTGCTTGTGTCTCAGTCCCCTGACTCTGTCATTCCTCCCCCTTCATCACACCACAGTATGCCCCTGAGGATGCTCTTGTGCACGCCCACGGGCCTCTGCACGCTCACGACCCGACCGGGACATTGCTAACGCAGCCCAAAGAATGGGTGTGTATTTAAGGTGTCTGAGGCAGGTGGCAGGTAAGGATTGGCTGAAGGCTGAGTTGGGGGGATTGTAGATTAGACAGTGGTTGTAGCCGGGGTTTGGGTCTTGACTGGTCACCAGGGGTAACAACTCAACAGCCACGCTTCCTATGTAGACAGGGAATTTTCCACTAACCACATGCAGTGGCAACAATGGACACATTTTTGATTGGGATGAGTGGTTAGAGGAAATTTCTTGGATTTTAATTAATCGGTGGGTTTTGTTTTCAATTGTTTGGTCTTTCATGGCAGTGTGCTTCATCTAACACTGCCTACATATCTGTCATCTCAAGAAGTTATTTAGGCCACAGAGGGCTAATTGACCTTGTTTGCTAAACCCCGCCTCCGGACAGAGATTGCCCAATCATAGCTTAGCAACTGTAACTAGGCACAACAGACCTGTCAAGCTTTGAATTTCTTGATATGCAAAGAGCTCCAACGAGAGCTCTGTATCTCATGAGATTTGGACAGTAGTGTTTTTAGCCCTGTTTACATAGAGATCACGCTACAGAGCTACTACTAAGTCCCTTCTTTATGCCTCCTTTGCATTTTTACACAGAACAGAACAACGGCAGCATCATGCTGCTCCATTGTGGGATTTTAAAAAGCATGCTGGCATATTGGAACCAATAGAAGCATGACAGGCGTAACATGTCATATAGCAGCGTCTGACTCTGGTGTGACATATAACACATGAGTCGGCAGTGCATTAGATATAAAAAATAACAATGGCGTAACATGGCAATAACAATCATTTACCGTCTCTGTTACATGGTGGCTGATCTCGTCCTCTGCTCGGAGAGTAAGGAGCTCCCGAATGTTATTGTTTTTCCAATTTGCGGACATTTTTGGCCACGGTGCTTCTTATTTGAGTTAGCCGTTTACTGCTCCTAGCTGCTTTTAAATCTCGTGGTGGTTCTCACACATAAGCTGTCCTGTTTATACAGACATCGTTTCAGCGCAGTTACAACCTCTTGTGGCAGCTTCAAGGCAAGACAATGCTGTCCCCCCATTCTGCAATCGTACCGTATGTAAAGAACAATGAGGCGGCATTAGGTGGTGATCACACAGAAATGAGACGCTAGAGACACGGACGCTTCAAAGACGCTTGAAACGCTGGAAGCACTTATTCATTCTTATTCATTCTTATTTAGCTACTGGCGTCTGACTCTCAAAAAGTTGAAAATATTTTAACTTTTCAGCGTCTACAAAAACACGTGTCTAAAAAGACGCTGGGAAAACGCCCGTCTAAAAAGAGCTTGAACGCCAGTCAGACGCGCCGTATCATAGGAAAATAATGGTTTTACTGGCGTTGCGTTTCTAGAATTTCATCTCGGTGTGATCACTCCCTTACGGCGCGATATTCCCGGTTTGAACAGGCAGTGTAAAAAGGGCTTTTTTTCTTTTTTTCTAAAAACAATAACACAACAGTAAAAGTGTAGGGGATGGATTACACACTGTGTTTATCTGAGCTGGAATCCTCAGCATGTCCAGCTAGCTAGCTTATTTAATAGAAGCAGAAGACACACTTATGTAGGCTTCATACATGCTTCAAGGGAGAAGGTACTCCCAAGGTGCATTTTGGAAAGAAGCATCTAATCACTAAGCTTAAAATTATATCATGGCGTCACTAACTGCTGCAGCTGAAAGTTTTGCTGTTGAGAAAAGATTTTTTTAATTTGTAGTTGAACAATTGGAACAGCGAAGCATTGCAGTTACAACTGGGTTCTTTTCTATGCCAACACCGGCTTAGGCTTATGGGTATTGTAGTATTGTAGTATGTAGCATCGTTGGCTGCTCCAAAAAATGACAGATGAAACATGATTTCTTAGAAGTAAAGTTATCCCACAGAGTTTCACTGTTAAGCAACATGTTGAAAAAATAATTAAAAGAGAATACAGAATGGAGAAAAACACGTAAGAGCTAGCAGTGCCTCTCACTTTACCACTCTAAAGAAATCACTACAAACTTTATCGCCACAGTTGGAAACTTTTATAAAAGGAATTTTTTGTCATATTAGCTGAAACTGTCACTATTTCCACACACAGTAACACGGACAGGTCATCCGTAAAAACAAATCATGTCACTCTGCCTCCTCATAGCGCTTCTAATAGCATTTGCAGGAATCCACCGCATTTAAATAAAATAATAACCAGTCAGAGCAGAGGAGTGTCTAACGCAGCTGTCAATCATGTCATTTACTGCTCGTGAACTGTGGTCAAACAGTCAAGCTAGGCAGTGATTCAAGATTCTGTTACTGCATTGGTTATTTCTCTTCTCAGATGTTTTCAGGAACGTATTTTAGTGCACTGTTTAGCTGTAAAATGAGAAAGTTTGTGACTCTGCCGCCATGTTGGAAACAGTGGACCGAAAACAAAGCATCGCCCACCGGCTGGAGCAAACTTTATCAATCTTTATCAATGTACAGCTAAACAGTACATTAAAATCTTGATTCATATGTCTTTTTTCATATCAGCGCTGCTTAGTTTGAAAGTTTGACTGCTGTATACAAGCGATGACTGACAGCTGTGTTTGAGACTCCTCGGCTCTGATTGGCTGTTTTCGTTCAGTAGATTCTTGCAACAAGGAGGAGGAACTTGTTTTTTTTCACAGACTATCCGTCGCAGTAGTAGTGACAGTTTCAGCAAATATGACAAAAGGTTAAAAGTTATCAGCTGTAGCTTTAAGTTGTAAATCTGCCATGGTTTTGTTGTGCAAGAAGAAAAGCTTGACAGGCATAGCAACAGTAACTAAGGGAGGCGAGGGTTAGTGAATGGTCAGTTGGTGCTGTTGTCGTGTAATAATAGGTAATAACAGCCTTCAGGTGGTTGAGAAGGTGACGGGTAACATCTGGTGCTGGTGTAAGGGCTCTGTGTTCGACGCTGCAACACTGGGATAATACTCTTCTCTCTCTGTCAACCCTTTCCTTACCCCAATCTATCCTTCCTCTCCTCCTCCAGAGTCCCGTGGAGTCCGTTTCTCTCCTGAGCAACAGCCTGATGGGTCAGTCAGGCGGAGGCGACGCTCCTCTCATGTCCCTCCCCGCTCTCATGACCAAGCCTGCAGGGCAGTACCTGGACCTGACCCTGATGTAGGGTCCCAAACATACAAAGGTCACTTGGTACATGTTAAAGACTTGTAATGTATTTTTAGGTTTTTAAAAATAGTCTTTTAGATGTGTTATTTATATCGTTAAGAACAGAAATTAATGTATTTTATACCAAAATCATTGTGGCCTTAGCCAAAAATAGCAGTTTTTGTCTTATATTGCACAGTGTGTATTTTAAAAGCTTTATAGAGATTTTTTTAATGTGTTATATTATAATCACTATGATATATTTGCTAGCCAAACTAGAGAAGAATGACCTAGTAGCAGCCAAGCTAAATCTTTTCTGTAAGCTTCTCTGTGAAGAGTGAAAGTGAGCGTGAGTGTGTTTCAGTGTGAAAGAGATGAAAATGAGTATTATGCATGGTTGTGTCGATACGTCTTAATACCCAATCTTTTTATGCAATGCATTTAATGTGTTTATATACGTTTTATACAGTACACAGTGATTGTATGGAAGCTTTAGTGCATGAAGAAGTTAGTAGTAAAACTTTAAGATGTTTACATTATGCCAAATATCAATGCACTGCTAATCAATAAGGCTACTAATGAATATAATAGCAGTATCTTTGAATGAGAACATACTGTATATGTTACACTGTGAGTTTGTCAAGTAGTCTGATCCCTGCATCAAGATTCACTTACAAAAATGTGACATCTCACACTCATTAGCCCCTTCCTTTGCTCCTCTACGTACCCTATATGGGTCTGTTTTCATGTTGTGTAATGCCACTGTAGTCTTGCCCTTTGTTATGGACTCACATTTGAACAGAGGACAGCCCCAGTTCTCTGTAACCTAACCACAGGGTTGCGATCTTCAAGAGGACTCATGTCGCAAGCTCTCATTTTACTGAGTGAATCACAGGAGACGGAGGATGATTCTGACAGATTTTATTACATACTTTACTCAGAGAAAACCACATGGATTTATCAGTCTGTCACACTTTCCTTGTCTTCTTTCCACCATCTACGCTGATGCGATGGAGCAAACAGGGTCACCTGCCCAAATACCAGTTCTCTTTTTAACTTAATCATTTACAAAGTAGGTGGAAAGCAGTGGTGCCCCCAGAAATTTTTCACAGTGGTTGCCAGATGGGGCCACTGAAAATCTTGAGTTGGCACACAAACACTCATTTACGCTGGCTAGTTCAAAAAAATATGTCAGTATGAGAGTTAACAACCTGCATACTGAGATACTTAGGTTTCTTATTCCACAGTTAAAGGGATATTTCTAATTTTTGGTAGTTGGGTTGTGTGAGGTACTTTATCCATAATCGATATATTACCTAGAGTAGATGGCAGTTGGCGTGCCCCCAGTTTAGAGAAGCAGGATGGAGTCTGACAGAGAAGCTAAGCAATGTAGTGCTGTGGACCTATAAAAGTTCTACCTGAACTAAACTGTATCACTTTAAGTGTACACTACATTTAGAATATTTTCACCTCTTTACCTTTGCGTCACACAGCCTGTTCCAACAGGGAAGCCGTTAATGATTTCAGTTTCACATCCCTCATCAAAGCCACCAGACTCCATTGAGAAAAACAGTAATTTAACATTGCTAAACACAGGAGCTGCTGTTCTCCCACTGCTTTGATCAGTTAGATTTTTTGTGTTATTGTGTGACTTTGGTAAATCTGAACTAACCTTTTGAAATGCCAAAGTCACACAATTACACAAAAAACCCAACTGATCGAGACAGCGGTAAACCAGCAGCTCCTGTGTTCAGCAATGTTAAATTACTGTTTTTCTCAATGGAGTCTGGCATTGAAGAGAGCGATTTAATGGCTTTAGTTCCCCATTGGAAATTGCTGTCTGACAGAAAGGTAAAGCTGTGAAAATATTCTAAATATAGCGCTTACTTTAACTGATAACAGCAGTACATAGCTTAGCTTCTGTGTTGGACTCCAGCCTGCTTCAACAGAGAGGCGTGCTGACTGACATCTACTTTATGTAATGCATTGACTATGGATAAGTACCTCATACAACCCCACTTAAAAAACTCTGAATTATCACTTTAATATTGCTAATTATCTCATGTGCATAGACTTATACCAGTACATTTAAGATTTTGATTGAATGTGTCATGTATCTGTACATGTTAGGTGATATATTGTTCTTGTCTCTTTCCTTTAAAAGACAAATATACAGCCTTTTTGCCATAGAGCTCATTTTCATTCTGATTTCTTGAGGTGAGAGTTAAAGGGACCCTTTTGAAAGTGGCCATGCCAATTGCTCCCTCGCCAAAATTTACTTCAGAGCGTTATTTGGCCCTCTTCCTGACAAGCTATGTCGACATGGTTGGGACCAATGGATGCCTTAGGCTGTTTATCTTCACGCTAGCTTAGAAAAACGAGCACATCACAGCCTTTAGATACAGTTATATCAGCCTCCAATTATTTCCGCCAACAATTGTATCAGGGCGGCCATGGCCCCCTCTGGCCCGCCTTTGGGGTCACCACTGATGGAAAGTTGAGAAGGAAAGGAAATGAAGGACACCTCTGATGTGTATCTTGTGAATTTAATTGTCATTTATGCCCTGCACAGTCGCTGTTTTGACTCTGTGTTGCTGTATACACTTCCTGCAGTAGGACTTCAAACTCCTGCTCAGGACGTCCTGCTGTGGCAGTGCTGAAACAACAATAAACATAACGTGAAGTCTCTTGGCTCTTGGGTGTTTGATTTCGCTATTTGCCTTAACTCCACTTCGCTGTGTACTTATTGTCTCCGTCTGTACTTTGGGAGGGTTTGTGAAGAGCAGGAGCGCAAACACACAGGTGGAGTTGTGTGATGACAGAATGTGGCCAGAGGCAAAACTGTGGGAACTCCCTCACACTGTGCTCAGTGATCACCTCTGCGATTCCCACACACACATATATGCTATAGCAAAGAAACTATTGTCACTCAGACACACTGAACACATTATCTGAGAGGATGGATTTTTTTTTTTTAACAGGGTGGAAAAGTGAAGAATAGAGAGAGCAGGAAGGGGGAAGCGAGAAGGAAGGCAGACAAAACCATGTCGGACCCCCTCAGGGCAGATTTGGCATTGTGTAATACGATCTTGTGCACCCCACCCAACCTGATCCCTTTTAAACACACTCACTCTCCCAGTTACAAAAAACACTGTCGAATCCAGCATAGCAACACCATTAGTATCTATGCAACATGGCCCAAAATACTTTTTTTCTCTTTAACTTTCATCACCTCACTGACAGTTAAGTTGGAAATATACCGTATGTAATCTACCGAGGGATAAAAGCAGTGTGATTACACAAGAGGTTATATTTCATGATTTGACAAAAAGCATTTCTTTGTAAGTGAAGTGCAAACCCTCAGGTGCAAGCACTTTAGCCTTGTTAAAATCTTTGTACAGTTTAAAATTAGCATTAACATGAATTGAAGTGTACAGAGCACAGATTAACAGACTTAGAGTAAATTAAAGTAATTTTGTCTATGATTAAGTATAATCCAAAGAATAATAGACTTTGAAAATTATTAATAAGGGAGGATTTCTTTCTTTTTGCTAAAGGGAGGGCAGTTTGATTGAATAATTCATTATTTCTGAAGGAGACCAAGGGATACTCCTCAGTTTTTCCCTTTTCCCCAGGTTTTTTTATTTTATTTTAGTACTCTCCTGTGATATTTACTGCTAAAAAAGATTTAAGAGAGACAGTTACAATAAAATACTTAAAAAACACTTACTACACCACTGTGACCTATATCAGAATGGGGCATGGTCTTCTCTCACATATCTCATAGATGGGAAAAACATTGTCTCCTTTTTGTTTATAAGGCATTGCTAGGAAAGCTTCTCTTTAAAAAGCAAATCCATCTCATCACACACACTCACAGGGATTTGTCCCTGTCCCCGTATCCCTTGAAACTCCTCAGATCTATGGGGTGCCACATTTTTTACCACATTTACAGCAATATTTGTTAACTTACAAATATATTAAATAGTTAAATCTAAATATTAAATGTGGTGTCTAAATGTTAAATGTTAAATCTAAATATTAAATATAAATCTAAATGTTAAATCTAAATCTAAATGTTAAATCTAAATATTAAATCTAAATCTAAATGCTAAATCTAAATCTAAATGTTAAATCTAAATGCTAAATATAAATATAAATGTTAAATCTAAATATTAAATCTAAATCTACATGTTAAATCTAAATGCTAAATCTAAATTTAAATGTTAAATGTTAAATCTAGTTTCCCTGAAATTTCATTGTCTCTGTCTCGGTCACCAGGTGATGAGGTGGTTATTTTTTACATTGTGATCTGTAGACTAGCAATAGCTTTTATCTGTATCTTTTCAACCTGTTTTTTATTGTTGAGTGTGTTTTGACACCCTGAATAAGAGTGTGGGCTCAGTGCTCGCTCTGACAGCTTGATGGAGCATCATAAAGGGGTGGGGCTTGGCAAACAGTCAATTAGTAGTGACCCATCAACATTTTCAGCTTGGGGTTGAGTTTAAAAATTAGGGATGATGATGTTGCAGGTCCAAAGCACTTACACTAGTAATAACTCGGGATGGTTCACCCCCTCCTCTGAACCCCAATAATTTTTATACAGTCCCTTAATACATAAAGCAGGATGTGCTTTGAAGGTTTTGTTTGTTGGCTCATCCACATAATTATCTGTCAAGGTCCACATTAATTATGTCAGATACAAAGATTTGCAGCACATTCCTTAACTCATACCAACTCTCCACTGCACCTTGCCTTGAAGATTAATTATTTTGCCTTAAGTGTTTCACCGAAGGACAGAACAGGGGTGCAATTACAGGCTGACTCACTGCACTATACCTGATAGGTGTGTAGAGGCAGATAAATCAGTAATACCCTTTATAACAACATTCTCTCACAGGGTGGGTGAGGCCTACATACACTTACCGTACAGGCTTGCAGGGTGAGGCTGATCCACATTCCCATGTCAGTGCAGAGACCAAAGATGCTGTCAAACTGATGATGTGGCCTTTATTAAGATCCAACCGTGGGCAGGAACAACACAATCAACACATACAGTACAGCAGCTGATCATCAGCCGCCTCAGATGTGGTTGAAGTAAAGTTGTTGAGCAGCAGGGTTATGCTTAAACAAGAGCTTATTTCCAAGAACAGGACGTCTGAGATCAGTTTTGCATTTTGACCTGTGATGAAAACTGCATATAGAAAAATAGTGATCCACGACCTGTAACGCGGGATCAATGTGCTCAGCTGTGACTGCAGATTTGTCTCCTTCTGGTGGTCGCACTGAGACTGCAGCTGCACAGTCTCAAACCAGTCCAGTCTCAACATCGCCTACACAGAGTCAGGATTCATTTCACTTTAAATTCACTCTGTTCGGGAAGTTACTCAAATGCTGCAAATGTTTTGGCATCTTAAAAATGGACGTAAGGAAGAAAGCATTTACAACGCCTGCTCTGTTATCAGCATATTAATTACAATGTCTATTTACATTTTGAAAAAAATGATTTGAAAGTGAATTGAGTTTCACTTCAACCTCTGTTTGTTTTAAGTGTAGAGATCAGTGCTTCAACAGTCGCTGTCTGAAATACAGTTTAGGCATCAACGTGGACACGGTGTTGACGTGTTGATGACATAAAAGTTAAACATAACCCCAAAGCAAATCAGATAAATATTTCATCATGTAACATATTCATCATGCAGGCAGCACCAATCACATCTGTAGCTTGTCTGTAACGTGTGTGAGTCAGTCAGTGAGTCCACTTTCCTCTGTCTCACTTACAGTTTTTACAGTTTCAGTTTGATGAATATAAAGAACCGTCCCTCTAAAATAACAATTAAGCAAATATAACAATTGCTTTTATGCAAATATATATTTATAACTGCTGAATGCTTTATGCAAATGTACAAATGTCGACTGCAGCGAACGGTTTTGGCTCCTCTGCCTCTACTTTCCTCACTTGACAGCAGGTCTGCTGCGCCTGGTGGTGATGTCACAAGGGTCAAGGTCTCAGAGCTCCGTCATCAGGAGGGCTCTCAGTATCTTCTCTCGGTCCAACCTCATTTCCTCTCCGCTATAAACACAAACAAACCTCATGTCATGAGAACTCTAAGGAAGTCTTTGTCACACGTGATAGTAAACTGAATATATATATGCCGTGAGACAATGTATTTAAGGCCATAAACTGAAGGAAGCTTTGTTTAAATGTGTTTTAAATCACTCACATGTTACTATTACGCACTGATTAATGTTCATGCATTTCAAAATGGTTGTTATGGTTAATGTTGTGACATATTGCTCCAAGAGTTAAGTTGTGCACATAATTAGTGACCTCTCGTCTGTGTAGGGGCGATGATGTGAAGTTAGAGGGTGTGCAACTGTTAAATAAAAGGCAGTTTCTGGTTCAGAGTTCATCTCGCTGCTGCTTTATTCGTACCAAACCCCCCAAGCCTGCTACAACATTTAAATTTTTGACTCTTGGTCAGAGGAAACAAGACATTTAAATATATCACTTCAGGCTGTGGTGAGTTACAACAGATATTTTTGTGCTAATCTCATATTATGGACAAAGGTATTAAAACATTAAAGCAGCTGCAAGGAATTTTAAATTGGTTATGAAATAGTTTCAATTTAAAGCTGGTGTAGGCTGTTTAGTTTTGGCATCACTGAGCAAAAATCCCTCTGTTTTCAGGCTTTAGAAAGTCGGACCTGTGGCGGGCGTCTTCGGCCAATCACAGGTCATTTCAGAGAGAGGGCGTTCCTATTGACTGTTCTACAAATGCGGATGTGTGTGCACATCCCTTTGGTGAAAGCCTCATTCAGCAAGTCAGAGATAAGTTGCTATTCCAGCATTATAAACAACTGTCTACACTGCAAAGCAACCCATAAAAGAGAATCTGTAAGAGAGTCTGACAAGAAACGTAACAAAACGTGTCAATAACGAAGCGTTTCAGAGGTGGAGGGAAAATGTTGCTAATAGTTCAACCTTCTGCTAACCAGAGCCTAAGCCTCATGGTTGTGGCCTCAACTTCATGCTTATGCAGCTAACGTTATCCAGAGCCTTGAATCTCAGTGTGTCCTGTGCTTCACTCCCCTCCGCTACAGACAACAGGCAGCACCTCCAGAGACAGACCGCCATCCTGCAAACAGCTGTGTTTAAAAAAACTGTATTAACAATAAGTTGCATCTTTCTTTTACTCATTTCCAAAACAAGTGCTAACGCTAGCCAGATCAAGATCTTTATGACAGCAGGTGGTGATAATGGGAAATTCAGTTTTCATTCTGGAAAACACTACTGCTTTTCTCCACAGGGGGCGCCAAATTCAACACAAAATAAAAGTTTTTTAAATGAAATTGCAGATTAATTGATAATGGAAATAATTGTTAGTTGCAGTATTAGTTATAGGATATGCATCTCAACTACTAGACCAACAGGAAGCTTCAGCTCACTGGAGGAAGGTTTTGGCAAATATAAATGTACCTGAGGAGCGTTACCTGTCATTATGGGCAGCAAGGTAAGGGGCCAGGTGAGGGATGGAGCTACGGTAGTAAGAAGGGGAGAGATGGGGAGAAGGCAAAGGAGAGGGACAGCACGGACTACCAAGCTCCAGTGACGGCATATTATCCACCTGGAATACACATTAACACACACACACACACACACACACAGTGATCTGTTGACTGACAGGTAATCCCAAGAGGCTGATTTACTGTAACTCCATAAGTGGAGTGTCATGCTTTCAACAAACAGGCATTCAAATTGCTTTTTAAGGTGTGTGTGAGAAAGTTCGTGTTACCTGTGGGTATATAGACGGCTGTATCTGTTTGTCCAATGAGCTGGTCGATCCTGACTTTCCTGTACTCTGGGAGGAGATGGCTGCAAGTGCTTCTGGGAGATTATCTTCATCTTCATGGTTACTATATGAGCGATACATTGAGAGACGCTCAATGACTTACATGACCTGCAGGTCGATCTGAATAAATAACTTTTTTAAAAAAGCTATGGTGCTACAGTGTTCAGGTGAAGTGTACTCACAAGCTGAACTGTCTGACCAGTCGTTTCCTGCGGTTGCTGCTCGCGTTGGCTTTGGGCTGCAGCCTCTCTGGCGTTGGGTTGCGGTCTTGCCGATGTGGCGTCTTGTCTGCGGTCAGACTGGATGCAGCCGAGTCTTGCGACGAGCTCTGATACCTGAGGAGCAGAGTCACAACACATGGAGAGTTAGTCTTAAACACACGTGTAGAAACATGCATGTGTAGATAAGATGAGGACACCTGCCTGTCACTGAGGGTCTCATTTAAGTTCTTCCCTCTGGGTGTTGTTGGAGCTTCCTTCTTCATCGTGGAGGAGAAGAGGAGACTGCTGTTAGTTATACTTCACATTACACAAGGTTTCTAAGTTAGGTGGAAGTCTGCTTTGGTACTCACCCTGAAAGCCGCCTCCATCTGGGCCTTGAGGATGTTACACTTAAGATGATCAGGGAGCATCGCCGGAGAGGCAGGAGGGTGCAGAGACTTCTCAGACAGCTGCTTCTCCTCTCCCTGGAGAGGGAACGTGCAGCAAAGGAACAAAACTTTGGTTAAGATCTTATCATGAGCAGAACAGGACAACAGTGTCTGGAGAAAGAGTCTGACCTTGTCCATGTTGACGTGCAGCGAAGGCCAGGGAGGAGAATCGCTGTCTGACTCCAGAGCTTTGAGCAGAGACTGAGAAATGTCCAACTCATCTGCAGGGCAGGGAGGAGCTCGACGCTCTAATGGACACAAAGTTTAATGAGAAAAATACAGTATGGGCTACATTAGTTATTATATAGACGTACTTTGGTTTTTTAGTGTGAACATTTGATTTGATGAGGGAGGGATGGCCAATTTAGTGTCTAAATCAGGGGTAGGCAACCTTCAGCTCCTCTCCAGTGGCTTTGACAGAAAAATTATATGGAAATAGTGTGGATGTTTACTGTTCATTTTCATTTATAATTGGCAGTGATGAGGGAAGTCTTTAGATCTTTATTGAAGTAAAAATACTAATACCACACTGTAAGAAAACTCTGTTACAAGGTAAAGTCCTGCACTGAAAATGTTACTTAAATAAAAGTATATAACTACAATCAGGAAAATGTATTTAAGAGTTATGTAATGTAAAAAAGTGTGTGTGTTAGCTCCATGCTAGCAAAGTGCGCTTGTAAATAGCATTGCGCTTTAGATTACATTGCAGGAAGCCGTAGGGGTGACCTGCCATTTTTTGTAGCTATGCCTACTATTGTATTTTTGTTTGCTTCTTTTGACTGTAGGGCCTATGCAGCACTCTGGAGGAAAATAGGTGGGTTTGTTTGTTATTTTGGCCGTGGTTCACCCTTAAAGTCCTTGCCTCATACTGTGCATGAATTTCTTGTATAACCTGCGTTTAACAGAAAAACATTTTTTTGAATAATTAACTCTCGGATCCATTGTATTAGCAATAAATTGCTCAGTGTTGTTCATAGATAGCATACATGCTCTCCAGTTCACTTTTTATGTTACGCTCTAACACTCCCAGACTGGGGCGTAACAAAAATGTGTGGACAAATTTAACCGCCAGTACCAAATAATTGTAAATGATTCGCTGCAGAGTACACCTTACACTTACATACAACCATGCATAGATTTTAAGTGCCATAAAAACAACAATATACAAAAGAGGAACCCTGAAAACGTTAGCCTTCTATATGTTTTGTTTCAGTCAGTTTTGTCTTGTCCAGTCTGAATGCTTTAGGACGGGTTGCTGCTTCCAACCCAGCATATTAAGGTTAGCTCATTTAGACCTATTAGTAATGTGGGAAGACTCATTTAGACACAATAGTTACCTTCATTACAGGCTCAAGTATGTTTTGAAGGTCCAGACTGATTTTTTTTTTTTAGCCAAAATGGTCTCTTTTGACAGTAAAGGTTGCCGACCCCTGCTCTAAGTGGTTTAGAAAATAGAACAGAAATGAAACTACTTTGTGACAAGGCAGAAAATTGTCTTTGGTTTGCATGTGTAAAACCTGCTATTAAAAAGGCTACATTAAAAGACACCATATTCCATCCAGACAGAACACATTAAAACACATTTACATAAAAACACGACACAATAGAAGCTACATTGAAAGGAGCACCAGGTACTCGATGGTGAGGACTGAATCAAGGTTGAATAAATAGATAGAAAGTGCTGTGTGCTGAGGTGGCAAGCTGGCTTCAGAAAGTGGCTGTTCTTTGTGACTCAGATATTTTATAGCAACAGGGAAAAATAAATTTTGTAGACATTTTTCTTTGCACACAGGATTCTGTACCTTTGCCCTGAAGGTGGTAGCTGAAAGTGGTGATTTAAGGATGGCTGTGGTCGTCTAAGATTTGGCCACTTAAGCGTTGGACAGCTTTATTATATTAATGTGTTATATTAATGATTTATACCCACAGAGGCACATTTTTATGGACACTTTTGTACAGAACAAATCAAAATTGTAAAGAACGAAAGGAAGAGAACTCAAGAAAATGTGCTTAAAAGCGGCAAATCAACGAAATCACGAAAACTTACTTTCCCACTGAATGCTGCTGCTATCTATCTAGCCAGATCAACTCAGTACAAAGTTTATGGTGCACAAAGTGTCAGATAAAATAACCTGTAAAACTTAACAGCAACACTTTTACTCAGAAATGTTTTTCTTGGTTACTCTGGATGATACACAGAGCTCACTATTAACAATTTCTACTCTTTTTTTAACCTAATGTCTTAAAACTGACACCTTTTACGGAACAAAATGTTAAATCACATTAAACTCCACTGTATTTGGCAGATGTAAGCAGTGGATATTTCACACCAAAACTATCTGCATAGATACCACAAGGGGTTAAAGGATAGGATAAGTATGCTTTAAATAATAGTTGGCTGACAATATGAACAGTTAAAATGTTTTTCTTGCTGTAATTTCCTTTATGCAAAAATATCAGCATTTATCTGAAGCTAACCAGAGGCTTCATCAGTCTGATTTATACAAAGCAAGAAGGTATCTTCCAAATTTGCAGCCTCTTCGGTGCAAATTCTGTCCCTAAACGGGCTCTATGTGAAGTTTAGAGTTATCTGGACACAGTTATCAACATGGCAGCTGGCAGCTACCAGTGCTAACTCAATAAACAGTGCTAAAGAATGGCAACAGCACTGACAGAGCTAACAATGTTACACAGTGGGGAGCTGGAGGGTGGGCGCTACGCTTCCAGGACAACCCTGTCCCGATATCAACACTAACCGCCATATGACCGCAGTGCAGTGTTGGTGGTGAGCTAGCCAGGGGGATACACACATGCACTAACATGCATGTGCAGCTGGTTTGGCTTACCACAACAAATCAGACAAGATTACAGATTACACATGACAACACACGCAGAGGGAGTGTGACTTAATTCTCTGCTCAAGATGACTCCACTATATCTTTACACAGCAAATAGAGGTTTGCTATTGTGTTACTGCTCTGAATGTCATACAGATCTTTCAAAGCGGGAAAGTATAGTTTGTGTGTGATCTGAATAAGCTGGCACTTAAAGAAAACACAGGATGCTGACCAGCAGACAGCGACAGACATGAGAAGAGCATCAGTGTACGTACGGTCAGATCACAGATGGGACTTCCTCCGGCTGAGAGAGAGTACTCACTGTTCTTGGTGTGTGTGTGGCAGAGCGTGTCCTGGCTGTGTGTGTGGCGACGGTGATGGTGGTGGATCTTGCCAGAATACGAAGTCTCATTCTCTTCAACACTGAACTGATGGTCTGAAGCAGGACCGCTCAGAGGGAAACTGAGGACAACATGTGCAATCAAAACAATTTTTTTCCCTTCTCTACAAACTGTAAACCGTTACCTAACTTCTAATCACTCCATCTGCATGACTCAAGGTTTTAAAGGAATTCTTCACCCACTGAATGACCATCTCTGTATCAATTACTCACTGTGTTACCTTGAGTTTGTGAAGAAAACCTTTACTCGCATGCCTTCATGGTGAACGTAGAATCCAAAAAAGATCAGTCTCATTTATTCAGTTGTGCTCAGTTCTTCCCAAACACTCAATTCAAGGTAACATGCAGTGAGTAACTGATATACAAATGGTCATTTTGCAGGTGAAGTATTCCTTTAAAGCACATCACACTGTTACAATATGGAGCTTGTTATAAAACAATAAAGGACAGACCTTTACACAGTTTTTACATTTTTGCAATTATACACATTGTGTTTATTTGAAAGGCATCGTGTGATTCGAGTAAATGTTACAGAGCAAAAATCAACACACTATGACAGCAAAACATTGGCGACATTTTGTGTAAACAGTTAGTTGATTCAGCAAATCCGTAACGTGCTGTAACAATGTAAAGTTAAGTCAAAAACCTCTTCTTTAAAGCACAACACCAAATACGCAGGATTCTAGTTCATGCTTCTACTTCACACTGAGCTATGACTATATATCTAAAGCAGCTTAATCCCTAAACCAGCATACAGTATGTGCTTCACTCGACCCCTTCCACCTGTTGAACTTCATATCACTTCATCTCACTCAGATTAAAGTGGTTTGGATAAATTAGCTGTCATAAGATTTCCAAGGCATGAAGACAAATTTAATCTGTGAGAGTAGAATTGTGATCTTCTAGTAAACAAGAATGAAAACACCGACCATGACGACATGACAATGTACACAAACAAAAAGAGGCACAAAGCTGTTAAACCTGGTCCTGTCTTTATTTTATCTGTGTTCTAGTGGTCCAGTTTAGTCCAGTGGTTCCCAACTGGTCCAGATTTCTCCTTAGTCATTAGTCCAAGGTCCACACTGTTTAATACATTCAGCGTCATACTTGTATTTGGCCATGTCGTCGAGCTAGTTTGTCACTCACGCTACAGCAGGAAATGGCACTTCAAAATAAAAGCTCTGTGCCAGAAATTCACTGTACGTCAAAATTAAGTGTCTTTTAAAAACTTAACACATTGGCAGCCCATTCAGATTGGACCTGCGCCCCACCAGTTGGGAACCACTGGTTTAGTCTCTTAGTGGTTTCAAAGTCGGACACTTTATATCTGTGTAAGAATGGGTAGGGAGGGTGTCGTGTCTGAGGAAGAGCCATCCCAGCTGCCACCAGACGTCAATATGACATCAGAAAGACATTGGACAGACATTAAATTTTGGTTGAAAATATGGTTTACGATATTTATAAGCAACATTTTGTGGACTTCAACATTATGTTTTGCAGACACTAGGTTTTGTTCTCCATACCTCACAACTAAATATTTTTCTGCAGATGATGTTGGCATGAGACGTTTGGAAGACGTTGGCTTTTGGTTACATTCCAGCAAAACTTAAAGCCAACAAAATGTCAGTGTCATCTATCATCAGGGCTGCACTGTGGAGCAGTGGTTAGCATCACAGCAAGAGGGTTCCTAGTTTGAACCTGGGGTGGGGGAGCCCTTCTGTATCCCTCTGTGTTCTCAGCGTGTCAGTGTGGGTTTTCTCCGAGTACTCCGGCTTCCTCCCACAGTCCAGACATGCAGGTTAATTGGTGACTCTGAATTGGTCGTAGGTGTAAATGTGAGTGTGAATGGTTGTCTGTCTCTATGTGTCAGCCCTGTGATAGTCTGGTGACCTGTCCAGGGTGTACCCTGCCTCTCATCCAACGTCAGCTGGGATAGGCTCCAGCCCCCCTGCAACCCCAACAGGATAAGCAGTTACAGAAAATTAATGAATCTATTGTCAGTATTTTAAGTCAATTGGCATTCAGCGTTGTCCTGACAAATCACAACCTAAATTAACCAAATATAAATGTCTGACAACACTGGTGGCGAGCTGGGATGTTGAAGAAACATTCTGAGCCTTAGTAATGTAAAAAACATATATACTAATAGTGTAACTTGAAAAAGTCGATGGCTTTTGTCACTTTTGTAACTTGGTTAGTATCATCTTACTTTAACAGGATAATCGTGCTCTAATTTCAGAACAGTTCCCATAATTTAAGAGCTTTGGGATCTGCAAACAGGAAGTAGCCTATAATGTTACCACAAGAGTGAGTGAGTTAGCTGTGGGGAACAACTTGTGTACATTTTGGCAAACTGGCACCATTAAAAGTATGCCGAATTAGTGGTTAGCAGTTCCTGTTTGCGACGTACCCATGAGCATACAGACAAGTATCACTACATTACTTTGACACTGAAGATTTAAAAAACGTGATAATTCTGAAGCAAGTTCTGCCGTTATAAGGTGCATCTTTTTTCTCTGTGATTACTTGGTGGATTTATGCACATTTCTCTGAGACGCTGACATCATTGAAAGTGTTAGTCACACTGACTCTAAAGATTTATCATATCTCACATATCATGTCTGTGAGTTCATATTTGACCTCAAAGAAGATTTTTTGACACCTACTGCAGAAATCTTTTACAAAGGATGATCAGTTTTAAAGTGCCTTAATTGCCTTCATCAGCTGATGATACGACTGTTGACCGCGTTGATAAACAGGCCAAACTAAAATAACTAACTTCATGTTGTTTCCAGAACACCTGTCCCTTTCACCTTACGCAACATATTCGCCTCCCGTCTCTCTCTCGGCACCTTTTTGGGATATTACATGAAGGTGTACACTGAAAACACAAATAACGGGATGTGACAGATGGATGATGACAAAGGTGATGAGGATGACAGAGCTTCTCTCTCTGGGACACCAGTCTTTTTAATTCTCAGATTTAAGAGTCTGGGTTGGAAACAGATTCGTAGTTCAAAGTGCAGTCATGACCTTATCCCTGTAAACCACACTGATGGATCCTGGGATGGAGCCGCTGGTCCGCTCAGGGACGGGACGATGACTGGAGACGGGACTCACTGACTCGAGAGAAGGCCTGAAGGGAGACGGAGGATCACGCACACACAAGCATGGAGGCAGACAAGACAGACACATGAGGTTTATGAGTGACATGAGGTGTGATGAAAAACAGACAACTTGGAACATGAAATGAGTGACTTTGTTTAAAAATAGAAACTTGCCCTCCCGTCAATTTCTGATCAAGGACCCCTGAAACTGACTCGCATCATCCTCCTGAACAAAAACATCCTCGAGTATCTCTAAACATCGCTGTCTGCGTCCTCTGCGGCTGGTTGTCTTACCTGTGTGATGGCGTGTGTCCAGAGGGCTGCAGGTAAACTGGAGGCGTGAGAGCCGGGTGGGGCGGGTGCCACGGCTCATGACCAATAGGAATGTTGTGCCGGTACTGGAGGGGAGGAGAGGAGACAGATTGAGGAGACGCTGAAATTAAATGTTGTCACAAGAGTGGAGCCAGATCAGTGGCTGCTGCATGTGTGTGTGTGTGTGTGTGTGTGTGTGTGTGTGTGTATGAAAGTGGGTTATCTGAGGTCACTCACTGGATGTAGGCTGGGATCAGGGCTGGCGTGAGAGCTGGAAAATACAGACAATAATCACTGATAGCAGATTAACAAACCAGCCGAGAACATTCATGTCTTGTGTGTGAGTCTTTGAACATGCGAAGTATCCTCAAAAGATGTGGAGAAACCTCAGAAGTGACGACCGTTTTCTTTCTTTTACAAAGGGCTGTTGGTGTTAAGATTATCCAGGCCGTTATGTGGATTAGGGTCAAGGTTAGGGGATAAGGAATGAATGTAATAAATGGAATATCCTCACAAGTACAGTAATATGAATGTGCATGTGTGTGTCATGTTTATTTTTGGGTGTTTTGGTGTATTTTACCTGATGTGTGGCTTGGCTGGAGAAATGGCAGCTGACAGAGAGAGAGACGTGATGTCAGTTAGAGAGGAAAAGACGAGCTGAAGGAAATATGACTATCGTTTTATCTACATTTATATGCTCGGCTGTCACCAGCGGAGGAATGTAACTAAGTACATTTACATTTATAATCAAGAACAATTTTGAGGTACTTGTACTTTGAGTATTTTCATTTCATGCTACTTTATATTTCCTATCCACTACATCTCAGGGGAAAGTTGGCATACTTTTTACTGCTACATCTGTCTGACAGCTTTACTTCTTTTGAAAATGAACAAAATATAAATCAAATAATAATTGAAGACATATTTTCAAAGGTACGATCCCCGCCAGGATATAAAGCATTTAAAAATAGCCTCATCTTTACCAGCTGCAACATTAAAGTCATGTACACAATAATGCATCAATAAAACAAATAAATAAATAAAGACCTACATTTTTAGCCTGGCCTTTAATTAAACTTTATGTCTTTTCTTTATTTTGCATTTATCATTTTTGTGTATTTATTTATTTTTATTAATCTGTTTTTCCTCGGTGACATATTCTTCTATTTCAACTTATTTATTTACTTATTTATTGACAGGCAAACATGCACGCGGCTCTGTTTTGAGAGGCTACAATTGACATTTAGGCTAAATACATGGTGTAAACTGCTTCTTTCAGGTCAAATTTGAATGTTGCAGCCTACGGACACACACATGTTGCCCACACGAACATCACCATTCACTTCAGTTGTACTGGATTTGACTGCAACACTGTTTTCCACTGAAACTCTGGGAGCGTTTCGTGAACTGGAGATCTTCACCCATCCTCACATCAGCACAGGGGTGAATAGATATTGCGTGAATTGTCATTTTTGGTCACTTAATGGTGGAGAGACAGGGTCAATATTGCAATGGTCTTGTAGGAAAGAGCTCCAAACGTGGGGAGCAGAACGGCTGACAGCTCTAGACCCCCTGGTGGTCAAGCTGGCAGATGTTGAAGGGAGTTGGATCTCAGAAGAGGATCTGAGAGTACGTGAGGGTGTGTAAATATGAAGGAGTTTGGAAAAATGTAACAGGGATAGGTTATTAAGGGCGTTTAAGGTGAGAAGCAGAATCTTGAAAATTTCAAGACAATGTAATATTAGTACGTTTAGTCAAGTAAAATATCTAAATACGCCTTCCACCTGTTGCCAACACTTCAATTTTCATTAATTTTTGTATTGCAGGCTGAATGAAAGCTCCAAATCTAATAAAAAAAGGTGTGTGGAATTAAATACACTTTCTCAGTCTGCACCTCATCATTCATGTATGATAGAAAAGAGGCTTTTGGGCCTGTTAAGCTGCTGTAGCTCACAGACGGTGGGAAGTATGGAGGTTTTTGGCCAACCCAGAAAAGTAACACAACCTGACTTAAGAATAAGGAGCATAGAGCTGTTTTTAAGTTTTTATAACCCTGTTAAATTACTAAATTTTAGAGGTAATCATATTGTTTGCCACAGCACACTGAAGAAGGGCCAGACCCGAAACGTCTGTGTGGCAAAATAAAATTTGATAAACTTAGAGTGCTGTTCCTCTCATCTTTTTGAATTTTACACCTTATTTGGAATACAGCACCCAGTTTTTTGTTTGTGAGTTGAGCGCATTGTAGACGTTTTTAAATAAAATCCCTTGACAGTTTTATTAGCTGCAGCTTCTCCTTTTCTCTGCTATGATAACATTTTTCATAAATGCAGTGAATTAAAAGAGTATGTGACCTTCATGAAAACACATTCAGCCTGTAAAGAACTAAACAGGTGCTGTTAGTCATTAACGTTTGCGTGTGCTGATAAGACTCACCTTTGCCCAGTGACTGTGTGCGGGAGGGGTATCTCTTGCTTGGCCTTCGCTCGAATGTGCTGGCTCTCCTCAGTCTGCCTCCGTGAGTGGCCTGATACTCTGTCTTACCGCTGAGACAAACACATGGAGGAAGATGGAGAGTATAGAAGTTACTATACAGCAACCAAATTACTTTTTTGTGTATGTGTCTTGTTTTTTTGTTTAATTCATGTGTTAATGTTTTCTTGTTTTTTTTAGGAAGAGTAGCTGATGTATCATAAGCGCTATATCGTAGGCAACTGGACGTTTTTTGCGTTTCTTGAACACGTTTCACCTCTCATCCAAGAAGCTTCTTCAGTTCTAACAGACTGGTGCGGAGTCGCAGGCTTTAAACTGTGTGGGTGTGAACCCTTACAGAGTCGTTAAGGTCACATGTGAGCCACTGACCCACCTGGCCATCTTGTGTGTTGTTAGGGTTAGATGGTCCAGGTATGAATGGGTGTTAAGTCATTTGGAGAGGGATCCCAAGACTGCATTGAAGGTGGGTGATAAGTGGTGTCATAGGCCACCTCCTCTGTTTAACGATGGTCGCTCCAGTTTGACGTAGATGGCTTCTTTCACACCTCTTTAAAACCATCTGTCTTCTCTGGCCAAGACGTGAACATCGCTATCCTCGAAAGAATGTCCCTTAAATGGACAGCTGAGTCTTGACCTGAGGAGCTGGCTCTCCTGTGCTGTGCCATGCGCTGGTGGAGTGGTTGTTTTGTTTCACCAATGTACAATCTGTGCACTCCTAGCTGATGTATCTGCATCAAATAATGACTATCCTAATAAATACAAATACAGTCGGACTTCAGCTGAATTGTATTTAAACTTTAGACAGTTGTTATTGTGCAGCTGTCAGGAAAACTGTCTCTATAACAGTTTGATATGCAGACTTTTTGATGAGACTAAATTGTTTTTTTTAATTTGGGATGTTTATTTGGAAAACACAGGTTGGGTCAAATTATATAAAATGTATAAAAATAAAAATAAAAACAAAATAAAAAGAGCAATTTAACAATTGGTGTCATCAATCTGAAGGGATTTCTGTGATTTCTGCATATATTTCAATTTAACTGACTTGACATCTCTTATTTTTTGCTCAAAACTCATTCATTTCTATCACAAAATGCCTCTAAATTCAGACACTGGCTGATGACAAAAAGCTCCAGGTAAGTGACACTGGCATGCTTATTACACTGGATTATATTACATTGTGCAGGTGTTCCTGTTTTTACTTCCACCAGCTGTAACTTGAGTTTTTAATCCATTGACTTCATTGTGAGACAGACTTCTCGCTGCTTTGTTCAGCTGCTCTGACACATGACAGGAAGTGCTCTTCAAGTGTGACAATTTGCTTTGACCATCTCCGATAATAGTCAGAAGAAAACAAACAATATGAAGGGAATATCTCAGTCGCCATAGGAACAGGTCCACGTAACCATAGATACACTGTAACCATAGATACAAAGGCTCTGTTTTATGTGACACACTATTCCCCATATGCTGGTACGAGTGCTGGCCACAACTACCTGAGTGAGCCAACTTGTCTTATCTGTCTTCAGTCAATAATACACTTTATGAGTTTGAAGAGCAGGCGTGAGTTTGCCTCAGAGCCCCACCTGAATCTGAAGCGCGACCCGAGTCGTGTGAAGTCGCTGCGGCTGGCCTTGCCTGTGGTTGGCTGGCGCAGGCGGAAGAAGGCATGGCTCTCAACCGCACACTTCCACAGGTGTTTGCAGCTCTTGGAGCTGGCCAGCTGGAACATAAATGTGTGCTCCTGCTCGCGACCCTGCACAGTCAGAAAACAAACAGTTAGCCGCCCTGTGTGTGTTTGTGCCTGCGCTTGTTTGTACACAGGGTGTGTGTTTGTGGCAGGATACAAACCTGATCGTCATCCTCCACCACGACCAACGTGAGTCGACTCTTTTTAAAGTCCAGACGAGTGATTTTGGGCCTGGATAACACACAGAGACACACAACAAATCCAAGGAGGATTAGTGCCTCAGGTTTGATAAGCGCTACTGAGGTTGAGATGATAAGAGCAGTGGCTCCTAAATGTTTTGAAACCATGGCACCACCTCACTATATCCACCTTCAGGTATAGATTTTAAAGTCCTGGTAAAACAAACAAATATGCAGTGTTGGGCAAGCTACTTTGAGGCCAAACGTATAGGCAGGTAAAAAATGTTCAGTTGAACTGTTTACTATAAAACAACAGACTTAAATAAAAATTTTCTTCTTTTCTTTTTTTGAAGACTTTGTGACATTTGAACATGTCCTCCAATAACATCATCAGTCAGCCTATTGCTCTCTCTTTCTCTCCTCTTCCTACTTAATACATTTCTCTGTCTTGGCTTCTTTCAGTCAGCTATCTAGCTATGTCAGTAACTCAAAAACAGACTTCTAAAATACATTTTGCAGTCAATAACACCATTATAAATAAAAGACAGTAATATAAACAATAAAAATATATTTTTTTTGGCATCAGAACATGAACATGTCTCCTCCATCTTCATACTGTTCCCTGTCTCTTTTCTCGGCCCTTGTGTCTATTTCTCTAGTGTCCATTGCAAATTCACTAAATATAAAAAGCTGAAAGGCAATACACATGGCAGTGCAATGTAGCCAATCAGAGGCAGAGTAGGGCGGGTGTTGCCAAGGAAAGCCAATAGCGAAAGCAGCAAGCAGAATAAACTGAAGGATTAGTATGTGATGTCGTACAGAAGTGCTTCCGCTTGTCTACATGCCTTGGTGTGGCACTGTCACACCAAGGCATGTCACTCACATATCCTCAGTTTCATTACCCTTACTTTTATCCAAACCTCCGCAGAAAAAAAGTCTGCTGCACTTTAGAGTGTTTCCTGGTAAAAATAGCTTGTAACTTTGGTGGATGGTACTGTGCTACTCTATCCATTAAGCAAAGTAGTGACATAACCACCATGCTACTGAGAAATTTTAATGATTAAAAAGGTCGCCAAGTGTAAAAAACAACATTCAGAATCATGAAAAAATAGGTAGTATTCTCTGTCTCTCTCAGTCTCTGAGATGCCGGGGTGGTGTCCGTTGAATGTGATGAAGCCACACCCACTTGCAGGATAGGCTCAGCCTCTTTTAATTGTAGCACTATAACAGATGCCAGAATCAACCAGAATCAAGTTTGGAGCCAGAGGACACTGACCTGCCCAGTTCTTTTCAGTCTGCAACAACAAAACTCAACGGCTCCTGTTTTATATAATGTAAGGGCTGGGCTTATGCTAAGGGTTGCTCCATTGTGTCATCGAGCAGGCTTTAAGAGTCGCCCAAAAAATCCTCGACACAGAACTTTAACAGTCTAACTCCACAATTCAGTACTACATATAGTTCGCAGTCTTTTCACATGTTTTCAACAAGAGTTTTCTAACTCTTAGATTTTACTCTACCCTGACGTTAAGACGTTATCACGGCATATGACATTACACATTTTTAATCATCATCAGTTACAATGACCCTAAAAGGAGTGCAAACAGAAGGCTTTTGGTTGAACAAACACTTTTATATCTATTTTATAACTTCTATAAATATGTTTTTTATAGGGACATAAGTGCACGTTTGAAAATAAATAAAATAATGGACTCTCCATTCAGTCCCCCCCCCCCCCCCACCAATATCATAGATACACCAATGAACAGTATGATAACCCTCAATTTTTCATAGCATAATATAAGGTATATCATGGGTAGGGTAAACTGGTTTAGGTTGGGTAAACTGGTTTCCCTACATGAAAGGAGACAATGCTTCAAATATAAATGTTGCTGCAAAGAAGCAACATATTCTAAAACATGGATACTTCACACACATCTTCAACCCAGCAGCATAGGAGAGCTATACAATCAGGACAATTTTAAGGTGGGCACCCAAGATTAGTGTCACCAAGACTGTGACGTTCACAGTGATGTTGACCTTTGACTTGGATGGACAACCCAGAAACATAATGCCTCCTGCCATGTCTGTTGCCAAAGCGGAGTCATAAAGACGTTTTAATATGGTGACATGACAATAAATTGTACCAGAAAAGGGTCGTTTGCTCAGTACTTCCTAAAACTAATATTTAAACACTTTCACATAAACAGTCTCACACAGGGAGCAGTGCGACTGTGCTGTTCACGCATAAGTGTTTGAAATGTTAGGGTTTCAGCGAATTGCACGTGTTTGGGAAATATTGAGCCTACAACTGGATAAATGAGACTTGCATTATGAGTTGTGTGAGAGTTTGGAGACAGATGTTTGGATTTAGTTTTGCTGTTGTTAAACTAGGTTGCCTATGACTTTAATTCATTAAGAATGTCACCATTATTGGATTCTTTGTTCAGCGTGAAGGCAAGTGAGAAAAACAAAGTTTTCGTCATGAATTCGACATAACACACTGAGTGAGGTGAGTAACTGATATAAAAATGATCAATTTTGGGGTCAAGTGTTCCTTTAACTGACTCTAAGGTGCCACAGAGCCCACTTTGGCAACAGCTGGTTCAGAGATGCATTGGATGTACTTACCAAAAGAAGAGGCCGATTTTGTTGGAGCCTTCAAATACTAAAATACCAGTTGGAGTGAGACCTAGTGCGTATTCCCCTCCATCTCTGCCCTGAGGACACAACACACACACACACCTTTAGTTGTCAAACACACTAATGTAATGTAAAAAAGTGACATGTGATAATTAAGTACACTCACAAACCTTGACAAAGTGCATATCTACTCCATAAAGTTCCAGCCACTTGCATTTGTTGAGAAAAGAAATCTCTGCTTGAGACGGACTCTTTCCCCTGAGGATTTAAAACAAGACACCATGTTGAGTTTTCACAATAAAAACATAACTTTGTCTGTCACCACAGCTCTGGAAACTCACTCTGAGAAAGGCTAACTATCAAAAACGGCACTCACTGCATGACCTCTGCTGGTAATTGGTGTTAGCTCTGAGGGAAACACTCAGTGAGCAACCCTCTGTCTGCATCTGTGACTCAGTCTTGGTGTTGTGAGTAAGAATGACTGTGAACTCACTGTGAGTTCGTCCTTGTGATGGCACAGTGGGCTCGCTGAAGCGCAGCATATGTGTATGTAATCTAATCCGAGATGGGAGCAATCAGACCGCGGCTGGGTTAAATACTGCCCAGAATCAATCAAGACCCTCTAAGGATTAATCCCTTAATCCTTCATACAAACCAGTGAGAGCGGGGCTGAGGCAGGGGATGAGAGGACCGAGGGAGAGTGAAATTTAGACGCCCTCATCAGTAGAAAGGCTCGCGCTGAAAGGCAGCCACAGAATGACTTCCTTTTCTTCTCAGTGCTCAGCCCAATGAAGAGATAAACCTGGACCTGGACGCCATCCAATAAGTTGCTTTGACAGAGTAAATGTTTTGTAGGAACTAGTGCAGATGCATGTGTGGAACCGTCCTGGATTTTAGTGGTTGACAAAGTCCCAGTTTCTACAACAAGTCTGACACTGAGTTCATGATAACCTTGAAACTCACCTGAGATCCAGCCACCTGCTGAAGATGTCCGCCTCCATGGTCTCGCTCTGTTTGGGAGTGAAACGAAACTCGGACACCAGCTCAGGAGAGTGCTCCAAGGGATCACAGTCTCCCAGCTCACCTAGATATAGATGCACACAAACACACACCAAGTAAAGACACAAGAAATTAAGTAGTTGTAGGAGAGCAGCAGTCTGACTCTTCCCTACTTGGTACACTATCTTGCAATTGTCACTTGTGGCCACAATTGTTGCTGCTGAGCAAAAAGTTACATCATCTCTCTTTAAAACTGCAAATTCATTTAAGGTCACACTGCACTACAGTACATGAGCAACTAACTGCAGATACTAACTAACTGAAAATATCTATAGAGTATTAATTGGTTTGACTTAAAAACACTTAAGCTGTTTACTTGTTGGTGCATTTCTGACTGCAGAGGGGAAACATTTTTAAAGGGATAATTTGGATTTTTTGAACTAAGGTTCTATGAGGGACTTATCCATGGTCAGTGTATTACATACAGATGGCGGTCAACATGCACCCAGTTTGGAGAAGGAGACAGGTGTACTGCAAGAGAAACTAGGCAATGTACTGCTGTGGATGGAGGCAGCAGCAAAATGTCTTATATCAATCTACAATCTCTTCAAAGCCTCCAGACTCCTTTGACAAAAACGGTATTTTTACATCTCTGAACACAGGAGTGGCTCACCTGCTGCTGCTTCGATTAGTTCGTTTTTGTTTGCATTATTGTTATTGGTGAATTTGAACTGACCCTTTGAAACACTTAAGTCGAACAATAACATAAACAGGATTTATACTTCTGCGTCGACATGGAGCGTACACATCGCAGCAGACCTCCTGTCTATTTCTGTAAGCTGAAACAATTTCCTGAGTGGAAACAAAGCTTTTATTTACTTTAATTTCACAGATAAGAAACAATAAATTGTGAAGACAATAAAGCCTCCACAAAAATATCATTTTAAGATTTCTGTGTGATTTATGCTTTGGGGATTTATACTTAGGGATTTATCCTGGCTTCATATGAGCAGAGGAAATCTCCACTAGTAGCTAGGCTAATTAATACAATGTAAAATGTCATAGGCTTGTGCTAATAACGTTAGCATGTTCTATTTGTTTGGAAAAGACATTTAGTATAAGACAGTTGTTTTGTGAGTTGTAATGGAGCCTAATTTTGTAACTTTGCCTTTGTTAAATGTTGCCGTTGTCACTGGTTTCATATGAACAGAGGAAATGTCCGCTAGCCACTAGGCTAATCTATACAATGTAAAATGCCAGAGGCTTGTGCTTAAAACGTTAGCATGTTGTGTTTGTGGGGAAAATGTGTCCAGCAAAAGACAAGTGCTTTGTTTGTGAATGCTGCCAGTTATAGTGAAGCCGATTTGTGTATTTGTATTTGAAATTGTCGCTACTGAGCCATGTTTAATGTGTGTTTAATGTGTGTTTTAAATCAACTAAACTTTACAGCACTTCACAGAAACCCCGACGCCGACTAGTGTTTTGGAGGTGAAACTGCAGAGTGACACACACGCACCACCACACAAGTATAAATGCCCACAACATGGCGTAGGGTCTGCATTGAGCTGACGCACAAGTATAAATCCCGCTTAACTGATCGAGGCAGTAGACCAGCAACTGCCATGTTCAGCAAATAAAATCACTGTTTTTGTGTTAGTCTGGCTTTGAAGAGAGCATAATTAAGTTTCACTTTCAGTTCAGGTCATCATCTACTGTAGGTAACACACTGATATTTACCTCATACAACCCCAATTTAAAAAATCCAAACTAGTCATTTAATGCAAGGAACCACCAAAGTACTTTCCCATCTTAGCTTATTGCTTTTCCTCTGGGTTTAATTTTTAGATGACACGGATCATAAATTTCTTCCTTTCCTCCAAATCATAGACGTCAAAGTAAACGCACCACGAAGGAAAAGAAAACAGTCCCCGCTCACAACTGCTTTACCACATAATGAAAAGATAAGATAAACCTCTAATGATCCCCAGCGGGGAAATTTGGTTGTCGCAGCAAAACAATGACATAAATAAGTACAGATAAGCATGGGAAGTAACAGAAATAAATAATGAGAGGAACATAAACTAAAATGAGAATAGAACAAAAATAGAGACTAAACAAGAGGAGACAAGACAATAAATAATCACATACAGGGTAAGATGGGAGAAGATGCCCCCACCTCCTTAATTTCTCTGTTAACCAATATAAGGCACTAAATCTACTCTCAACACATGTATTGAACGGCTCTGCTATACTGAATTGTGACATTTCATCTGAATTTCTGCAGCTTTATTCCACCAAAATGGCTTTAGGGTAAACTGATCTAATTTTTGGCACTGGAAAATAGTGATCTATGCTATTATATTAAGGTGTACATAAAAAGCTTTGATGTATGATGATAGGGAAAGCCATTTAATTTATTTTGAAAGAAAAAACATTCTCCTTTAAATTAAAAATGTAAAGTTACCTTTTAGTGGAAGAAGCCCCTCTTAGAAAGGGGGCAAACATGCCCAGGGGCATCCTGCCTCAAAATACTATTTAGTTAGGTTGTCTAGTAGTTGCGACTTGAAATAGTTAAATGTTTATACTTGCTTGAATCACTGAACTCTACAGGCCTATATTTGGGACAGATGTCTGTATGTGACAGGCCTATAACTCCTTTTTAACAAAACTGTTGCTCAGCAAAGATGGGAAATACGTTCAAATTGGGGTTTTTTTATATTAGTTGTACAAAAACTAGTCTTTAAATAACATATCAATCATGACTGATTTGATTAGTGACCTCTTTGATTTTTTTTATCAGCAGACCCTTACAGACTAACAGAATATGAATAATTTACTGGGTTATCGAGGAAAGGACAGATATTCTCACTGAACTGAACTGAATGACTGAATCGTGTTGAATCTAACTAAGCTAACGATGTGTAGCATTTCCATACTGACATAAGTCAGTTATATCCGTATGAGCAACCTAAACAGCTAGCTGACGTTAGCTTAAGTCGGTAGCCAAAACATCCAAACAACTTCTGTAAAAATATACTGTTTGGCAACTAGACAGGTGTTTAATTGACAAAATGTGTAGCTACAAAGGGACTGGGTGTTTAATTAAAGTTCATCTTTACATACAGTAGTAGTAAAGTATTATAGTTTCAACAGCTTGCTAGCATTATTAGCAAGTGAGCTAGCAATCATTAGCATTGCTAGCTATCTAGAATTAGCCAATTAGCTATTAGCTAGCTTGCTGGAGGAAGACACCCTGAAATAAAAATTATTAGCCTGAAAGAAAGGCTAAAAGGCTTCTAGATAATCCATTAATGTGTCAGGGTTGTGATTTGAATTTATTTTATTGAGTTAGGTAGAATGTTTTATAGCTTGAGGGTTTCTTGCCCAGAGTGGGTGCATCTTGTCCCAATAGTAGGGCAATTATTTTTGTGCTGTAACAAAAAAACTGACTACTCTACCAATTTATTTCTCCCAACTGTGTCGGTTTATGCATCATCATCCTGCACATGCTTAAATCATATCCAGTATATATGAGTAAATTGGCTTTGTTCCAGAGGGGGGCATCTTCTCCAATCTTAACCTATAAGTGGACTAAATGTTGCATGTTTATTTTTATATCACAGTGAAATAAACAGAGATTAATGGCCTCCAAATACATCAGAAATAAATTAAAAAGTGGACTTACTTTGTAAACAATATGCCGCCAGCTCTACTGAGACATCGTACGGACATTTCAATCTGACCAGAGAAAAAGAGACACTGGTGATGAGCTGTTTATCGTGAGTGTATTCATAGTGTACATGTTATCGTGTTATTAAAGTGTCTGTATGTCCTACAGTGTGTGTGTGTGTATGTGTATGTCAAGGAGAAGAGGAGCAACCCTTTTCCTAAAATAAGCAGCCCTCTGCTGTTCCTGATCTTGAGCTTTATAATAGAGCTGGACTCGGGGGATCCATGGCCCAGATAGAGTCAGGAGGAGGGAGAGGGGGAACACGCTGTCTCAGTGTGTGTTTGTGCATGCATGTTTATGTTTGTGCAGAAGAAAGCAGGCAGGCGCTGCTGTACAGAAGTCCGCCAAACTCTAATGTAGGTGACCTGTGTGTACGCTCCCACAGGTGTGTGTGTGTTTATACACCAGGTTTGACGCCACTTGTGAGAACCAGAAGTCTTCACAGATGAAGAGAAATTACCTGAAAATGACTCACGAGGACTTGTTTAATACTTCTTTATTTTAGGGCGAATGTTTTTTACTTCTAGTTAAGATGAGGTCAGAGTCAGGCACTTTTGCTCTCTTTAAGTATTCACAAGACTTTTCAGTTTTAAACACATTTAGTCATTTCCTTTTACTCTAACAATCAGTCTGAGCATATTTATCTTCTGTCACACTCCAATAATGGGGTCAACATTTCCTACAGACAAAGAGGGTGTTTAAAAGTTGCATTTTTTTCATCATTCATTATCTTAACTTTTAAAACCTTTACATGACAGTTTTCTACTTTATCCTCAAATAGTTTTGAGATTGTTAAACTATTTATTGTCTGACAGAATCTCAAATTTATTCTGTATCCACTTGTTCCAGCACTTAAAGCAATAAAGTAAAATATCCATCGCCAGGAGTCAGTGTTTTGTATTATATATTATTGTATTATATCATATTTAGATCGTTGTAAACGTTTGCTTCTCCACTACAATTAAAAATAAGGCTCTGTGGGTTTGAATAATGTTTGGCTGCAAATTGTGCGTTTGTAACGACCCACCAGCTGCCTGAGGGATTAGGAAACATCTTAAACATTGATGACCTGACTTGACCTCTCATTGAAGACACAGTGTGCTCAGTTTGTCATGTTATAATACATATGAAAAATAAAATAGCGTGGTTGTCACGTGTATCACAAAAAAATTCTGTTACGCTAAATCAAAAATGAATGCACTATTTTGGGGTGTGCCACATGTTATATATAAAAATAGTGGCACATATGTTCATATATACATCTGTATCTGTTCCTGGGTGTATTATCATGTAAAGAAACTTACTTGCCAGACAGAATATCTTGTCGAAGCTGCAACACGAACAGATACCTGATGGTGTAAAAAACAACACGCATGGAGTGAGAGGCTCGAACTGAGCAAGAGCATAAATCAATTGCTGTATCACCAGCTCTTCCTCATCTCTGACACATCATTTGTTTTAACAAGTCTCCGTCCGTTTGGCCTTGATTTGAATCTGCCCACAGCAGCAAAGTAATTAGCCTGTCGTCCCCTTTGGACCTCGGCACTAGGCTCCTGAGAAAACCATGTGTGTTCATGTGTGTGTGTGTGTGTGTGTGTGTGATGTTTTTACCTTGTAAATTCCTCACGCAGGTTATTTGGCTCCGAAGAGTAAAACTTCACCCTGAAGAACAGTCTGTAAGGAGGCCCGTCTAAAAAAAATAAAGAGAAAGAAAGAGCGTGTTTGAGTGTGTGAGACAGAGAAAGAAGCAGAAAAAGACTGAGTAGTAATTTATCGAAAATTAATTCAATCAAATCTTCTTATGATCTATTTTATCTCATCCATCACTGCCACACAGGCTATAAATCTTTATTCACCCATATTTCTTTTTAACCTACTTTATTATCTCTTTCCTGTTTCACTTCAACATCGATCAGACTCTTTTCTCTTTTTTTTTTAAGGCTCCTGAGCTACAAAAGGAAGCTGCGGACAAGTAGGACAACATCAGTCACTCCTGTACCATTCATCCCCCTGTTACGAGCTGGAGAGCAAACAAGGGTACGGCTCCTAATGCACGTGCTAATCACCATGTCAACATTGGATAATGCGCCACCTGCTCCCCACTTACCTGCTTCCACATGCACCTACTGCGCATTTTCCTGCACACACAAAACACAAGAGGGCCTAATTAGGAAAACTTACCTCTGATCTGTTTCTTTATAAGCTTGGTCATATCCAGCCAGTGCTAAAAGAGAGACAAGAAGGTGAGAGTGAGTGACAGGTACATCAGCTCGTGGTCGTCTGTGAGAGAAGTAAGAGCTCACCGAGACTTGTTCTGTGTCCATGAACTGCAATCCAAAGTAGTCCGACTCCACCAGATCTATGTGGTACATGATCTGGTCAAAAAGGTCCTGGCCTTTGGATTTACTCTGCAAAGAGGAACGATAACTTAAATATTTTCAGATGAGCTTCATGTGTGTTCATTCTGATCTCTCTGCTGCAGTAACCTGATCTTCTTGAGACAAATTGAGTCTGAAATCTTGAGTTTAGGCGTGAGAAACCTGGTGTCCATGACAGAAGCAAAGTGACTTTAGGGGTGTGTGTGTGTGTGTGTGTGTGTGTGTGTGTGTGTGAAAGTGACTGATTTTGTGTGTGCATGTGGGTCAAAAAGAGAAGCTCCTGAGAGACAGGTCCTCATTTAGGCCTTTGTCAATAACACACACTACCAAGAGCACCAGTCATCGCACTTAAAGGGATCGTTTGCCGATTTTCAACCAGCTTTGTGTCATGACATCCCCCAGCTCATTTTCGCTGGCTTATGGGTTGTTGCTTTAACTACAGCTGGTACTTCCTGCATTAGAATACAAAGAGTATCCACCTTATTTTTCATGGAAACACGGAGGCAAAACAGAACGCAGCCAACTTCCGATTTTTTGTGCGACACTTCCGGTCCAGCACTCTTACCACTGTATAAATGGGAATCACCTTGTTGTTTAACTTGCTGAGTTTAGCTATATATATGTATATATCACATTTTTCACATCACTATATCACCGTTTAGACTAATCTGATGTTAGTAAAGTCTATAAACACAGTGACTGAACAAACATTAGTATTTTCTCTGTGTGTAATTAATAACATGGTTATTGTAGATTAGCTGGGCTAACCGTTAGCTGTTAGCCGTTAGCCGTGTCTGTAATAACTCACTAAACTCACAAAGTGGCCCGTGAAAAAAATATTTTCTTCAGCGGATGTCTTAATTGCAACATGATTGAGCTAATTGGAGTAGTTTCATGTCATATCCGACAACGGGAGGCTTTTAACGGATGACGATCCTGATGTTAGTTTTGCTGCTAGTGTTAACGTTAGCTGTCCCTGTCAGCTGCAGCCATTGATGCTTTCTAGACATTGTGATTTCCCAAAACTGAATAAATACCACACATAGCAACACAAAACTGCTTTGCTAGCTCAATCATGTTTTAACGGCTGGATGGTTGATGCGTACATGCTGATTCAGGTGCTATCAGAGCCGATCCGCGCATCACTATGGCTTAACGATCAACTCAGTCAATTAAAACAACCCGTCCTGTGTTAGGAGTGTATGTCGCTGACAGAAAGAAAGAAAGAAAAAAAGAAAAGGGAAAAGAAGATAGAAAAGCAGCGTACACCTCACATATTTATTTCTCACAGTTGCGCACACGTTTGGCTGGCATGCAGAAGCACCGTCTGTGTGTCGAGGGTGCGAGCCGCAGCTTCAGCTGCTCAGGAGAGAGGCTGTGTAGCCAGGTGTGTTTTTTCGTTGATTCGGTTTTGCAGGTTCTCTGCTGGTACACTGGAGACGGGGATCAAGCAGTTTGTCTCACTCGGGATAGATTGTGCTTTTTGGTTCATAGTTTATGATTGACGTGCGATTTATTCGCGTTTAGAGGGAATAAATTTCCGTTATAACGGAAACGTGGGCACAGTTAGCTAACGTTTTACAAAATACACAGACTAACTAACTAACTAACTAACTAACTAACTAACTGATTGACTAACATAAACAACTGAAAATTGAAAAAAAAATTAGCTTGCACCGTTAGCTCCGGTAAGGGAAAGCATGAGGGAAAGCGGCTGACCGGAAGTCACGCACAAAAAAACAGAAGTTGATCACTATTTACTTCCGTGTTTGAAAATAAGGTGGATACAAGCAGATGGGGAGAGAAAGACCCGCCCCCTCTGCCTTGCTCTCTCAAACTCAGATGAAACGGTAAAACTAAGCAGTGCTGATCAAATATTAACCAAATTCTGTAACTGTGTCGCCTATTTCACGACTAAAATGTTTTCAATGGCATATTTTAATGCAATGTTTAGCTGTAATTTAAGGTTGTTTGTTACTAGACAGTCGCCATATTGTTTCTGAGTAAATCGTGTTGGCTGAATCCAAATGTCCACCCTCTGGACTTGCGGACCTCGCGGACATTTGTATGTAGTGTGACATATTTCCCTTTATCACGTAGAATCCATGAGGGCAGAGACTGCAAGTGGCTGACAGACAGCCTTCAAGACTGATTAACTCGATGCCATGGAAACGTTCAACTATCGCTGCTGTCATATTCATATATATGTCATATAAGTTGATGAATCGTGCCAACTCATCTGTCACTGCAGATAACAAAATACAAATCCCATGTATAGCCTTTTTTTTTTTATCATAAACTGAGTATAACTTATATAAGAAGACCTTCTCTTGTGTTTTTCGGACATTTTTTAGTCTATATCACTGCGTAGCCTGATAAGCTGCAATGTTAAATGCATTTTCAGTTCTTCTACAGCCTAGACTTCCACATATTTCTGTATCATGATGTGGTTGAATATCATATCTGGCCCCCACAATTCAAGTAGCATTTTAATAGACCTAACTATCAATAACTATTTAACACATTCATACATTTTTTTCTGCAGTTGAAAAAACCACAACGTTACGTCCATATTGCAATGAATTATGGGTTATTAAATTAGTAAGGTCTGCTGAAATCTGCACCCCAAGCGGACTCTCTGGAAGTCTGCAGAAAGGCCACTTGAGGCCCCTTGTGGACTGGATGAATTGTGGATTTGGACACTCCCAGACTTCCCGTGAACCCGCCTGCAAAGTCTGCAAGTGCGGTGAAGTCCGGCCACTTGGATTCAGCCATTATGTCACCCACCAGTGAGAGTGTTTGTGAACAGGAAGTGGAAGCCATACTGTTTCCTGTGTTGTAAAAATGGAGGCTGATTGGACGGTAAAACTGAGCAGCGCTGATTAGATTTAAACCAAGATTCTGTTACTGTGTTGCCTATTTCACTCCTAAAATGTTTTCAGAAACATTTCACTGCAATTTGACATCATTTGTTACCAGACGGGCATTATGTCACCCACCAGCTGGAGCGTTTACTGGCCCAGTGCAGAGCAATGCATTCTGGTAGTTGTAGGTGTTCTACCTCTTGAGCAAAAGCAAATGCCACAGCCCTTTCCCTCTGTTTTCTCTGGTCATGTAGCACCAGTTTTAAATGTATTTGTGTCTTCCCACTGCGCAGACAGCCTAGTTTTATGAGAAGACAATCCCTCCAGCAGTGAAATACTTCTTCAAGCACAACTAGGAACACTTTGTCCCAAACTTCCCCTGAACAATTCATGAGCACATGAGCCTCATCGCCCCAGCGTGAAGACCTAACCCCAGTCTGACCCACATAACACCCAGCGGGTGTGTAGAAAGATGACAGCCTTGTACTTTGGATCCTGATAACCAGTCTAAACTTCCTGGTGAGTGTATGAATGTGTGAGGAAATCAGTGGTATTAAGGGATTGGGCACAGAAAAAAAAATCACGCTCCTGCTCATTCTGCAGCATGTAGTTTTAGAGAGGCTGATTGAAATCATAGCCTATATCACAGGGGTGCGCACACACTGCTGGCAACACTGTCACACAGTCTCTTACACAGTGGAGTGAATACTGTACTGTTACTGTAAGTGTTAGTCATATATATCAATTTATTGATACACATTGATTCTGAATACTTGAAATGGTTTCACTGTTTACTGCACACAAGACAAGGTGTCTTCATTTTATAGCCGTGTTATATTTATCTTTTAAAGGAGCAGTGTGTAAGATTTAGGGGAATTTAGTGGCATCTAGCAGTGAGGATTGCAGATTGCAAACAACTGAAACTTCTCCCAGTTAGAATTCCTTCAGTGTTTATTGTTCAGAAGGTTTTCAACAGGAAACAAATGATCTGTAGATGTCTCCCTCTCTCCAAAACAAACATACCTGATGATTTACACCACTAAAAACACTGAATAAAGCAGCTTACGTTACCAATCAGTGTCTCTCCTCTGGTGTTCACTGCTAGCCCAGGACCTGCTGATGTGCGCTCACCTTTTTTCTCTGGTAACTTAACATCAAGATGTTCAGGAGGTTTTAAAATGAACTATCAGAATCAGCCACATGCTTTTCCTTAGTCTGTACAATGAATAAATATGACAGACATTGGAAAGTATTGTAATTCATGTCTCCATCTGCTGATGACCCATCGTGCTAAGAGTATGCATGCATAATATGATGCTTATTCCACTCCAGAAGAGACTTGATGACCACTAAAATAAGGTGGGGAATAAAGCAGATATATCGATATCGGTATTGGCTATCGGCCAAATAAGATGTTAAATATTGGCAAATCGGCTATCAGCAAAAAACCCAATATCGTGCATCCCTAGAACCCGGGATTCAAACCAATAAAATCACTGATGAAAGCAGTTTCACGTTAAAAAAATCAATGTTTTTTCAAAGCTGCTTGTCGCAGAGTGGCTGCTAAATACAGTGGACGACGCAAAAACGTGAATGGCCCTATCTAGAGCCAGTGTTTGGTTTGTCCATTCTGGACTACTGTAGAAACATGGTGGTGCAACATGGTGGACTCCATAGACGAGGACCTCCTTCCCATGTAGATATAAACGGCTCATTCTAAGCGAACAGAGACATGATGATTCTTATTTTCAGGTGATTATACGCTAAAGAAAACATAATTATCATATTATATTCCATTACTGTCAATATATCCCCTACATCCTACACACATTTAAGTTGTTTTTAAAGTGCAAAATCTCTTGTTTAAGTTTATCAAATGTGAAAATTGGACATTTTTCCTTGTCTTAACATTTCAGTAAAGTGAGTGTTTCGGGGTTTAACCTCTGGGACACTATTGTCAGCATTATTTTTTATTTTTTTCTAAACTTAAAAAAGCCGTGGACGAGGACCAGCTACCTACGTCAATATGGACGGCTCATTCTAAAGTAACAAATACACAGAACAATTCTTATTTTTAGACAATTATACACTAGGAAACCATTTCTGCTAGTATATCCTTCTAAATCCTTCACACTGGACCTTTAATAAAACTTAAAATTTCATGCCCTCATTGTCAATATCTTCATGTGGTATCAAAAATAGTATCGAATATCGATATTTTTCAAAGGGAGCTGTATCAAGGTTAGATATTCCGGCATCGTGACAACACTACTTCCTGCTTTTTTTTGGCTGCAGTCAGCTGGGAGTGAAAGACTAATACGCTTTAATAGGCGAGTTTCAGCCCGGTTCAACGCACCTGACCTGACATGAACAAACTTGTTCCAACACACCTGTGACTAAGTGGCCAGCTTAACAGGCCCTGTGTCATTTGTTGCTGGAGCTCGGCAGAAGCTGTGGCATTGTGTTATTGTTGTAATCTCCCTATTGGACTGTAAATGAAATATCCTGTACCCTGATAACCCACTGTACACTGTCTGAACGTTTCATAGGTGACGCAACCACACAGCAGCTTTGGTGACACATGCAACCTTTGAACATGAAAACATCTTACGAGAAGCCACTTACGCACGAATACCCACACACAGTCACTCATCATCCCACCTACCCCTCACACACTCGTAGCACTCGTCTGTGACACAGAGTCCGCACAGCGGTAAATCAGATCAGGGAGTCGGGGAATAGAGGGAGATGGATGGAGAATAGGCAGAAAAGGGAGAAGGAGAGGAGGGAGGAGGGCGCGGAGTGCGAAAGAGTAAGACAATGAGCGAGGGAGCAGGCCACAGAGGGAGTGTAAAAGAAGATTAGGAGGGAGGATGGCACACGGAGGGGAGGCAGGGGGGAGAGCGGAGATTGGAAGATCAGATAGAGGCAAATAGACAGAGAGAAGAAGAACAAGAGAGAGGAAGGTGCTGTAAAAGAGCAAACAGGAGGGGGCAGCTTCAGGTCTATCTTAGATTTCCCAGCAGTCAGAAATGGGGAAGTAATGTGATGAATTGGCTGATCATAACACCATCTGGAGCTGTACCTCTCACTGTACAGGAAGAGGCACACACACACTAACACTATATAGGCCAGTATGACTCTACAGGCAGGGAAACTTTGGTAACTTATCTGTGCCAAACTTTAAATAGACACATTTTAAATACACATCGTTGTTGATATTCACTGGGGGTGAAACTACCAGTGATTTGCATCATTGATTACTCTTTTTATAATTGTTAGCCCAATAAAAGTCCAAAATATAGTATAAAAAAGCTAAAACCTGTGTTTCAGAGCCAGAGATGAGGTCTTCAGGTTGCTTGTTTTGTTTGTCCATCAGTCCAAAAGTCAAATGTATTTAAATTACAGTAAAAGCAGCTAATCTTCACGTTTGAGAAACAGGAACCAGTGCGCTTTTAGCACTTTTTCGCATGAGAAACAGTTAAATAATCACAACTGCTGCTGATTAACTGTCCTGTCAATCCACTAATCATCTGATAGACTAGGCAAGTGATACTTAACTAAATCTGGCCCCACCATACAGTGCCAGATGCCGTTTTTTTTATTTTCTTTTAATGTACAGTGCCATGTGTGTAAAAAAAAATTAATGTGTAAAAAAAAGCATCAAAATAGAGCTTGTTAATCAAAAAAGAAGTGACAGAAGGGATCCCACAGACCCCCTGACAGAAATCTGGGCTAAGACCCGAGTATTCTAGCAACACCCTTGCGTACACCTGGTCTGTGCAGGGCTGCTGCCACTGGCCCCTTGACCTCCTGACATTTTGGTAAAGCAAGCTGAGTATCCCTAATTATTGAGCCTTAATTTGAGCTGCTGTGTCTGCTGGATAAATGAGGGAATAAAAAGCAGCAACAGGACAAAACACTTTTCCAAATTCTCTAACCAGGACTGTGCTCAATTAAGTTTTTACTGTGATTAAATTAGGTTTTAATTTTTCAGATCAGCCTGAGTCATAGGGCTGTAACTAAGGAATACTTTTACTGTCAAATAATCTGTCGGTTATTTTCTTGATTAATCGATTAGGTGTTTGGTAACAAAATGTTAACAAGTGTTTCCCAAAGACCAAGATGACGTCCTCCAACACGTTCTCATCGCAACTAGTTAAATATCGCTGCCTTGTCAGTGGCCTTTCAAGTCTAAATATGATGCACTAGGTACCCTCCTGCATCTGTCATTGACGTTCCAGGACGACCTCTCAATTTACGCTTGTTACATGTATAGTGTCTTTTAAAAATACATTCTGCTCGTTAGATGCAAATACACTTGCAGTGTTGGTAAAACAACTTGTTTTAGGTTTATTTCCTTGTGTAACTAAAGCATGTGGTTAGGTTTACAAAAAAAACATCATGGTTTGGCTCAACATTCACATGGGAATCAAACAGCTGGCTCCTGGGTGAAAGTCCAGGATTTGTTGGTCCCACCCACCTCCACAGGGACTTTCCAGCTGTTATATTATGTTGTTACCGGCTGTGTTTCAAGCTGACACCATCTGGCAATGTTAGAACCTGACACCTACCGTGGGTGTATCATGCTGCAGCGAAAGGTGTCTTTTGGCTTTGGCGTCTGTTGCGGAAATCACTGACAAAGTAGCAGTATTTGACAAGTTGGGAATGAGAACAGGATGCATCCTCAAATGTTTTGTTCTGTGCACAACCCAAATATGTTATATGAGAGGAGTAATGACACAAGAAAATTTACATTTAAAAAGCTGGAATCAGTGAACATCGACTTTTTTGCTTGAAAAATTACCCAAACAGATTAATCCTTATCAAATTAGTTGACACATGATCAATTAATTGTTGCATTGTTGTGAGTTGCATTGAGTTTCTCCTTATTTTGAAATTTAAAAAAGTTGCAAGTAAAATCAAACAACCCTGAGTCAGGCTAAATAGGACACACTGAGGAACCCTGTCTTTTATTTTTTACAAGGGACCACCAGGAGCCCCCACAGGGTCCCCACGGGGTCCCCGGGCCGCACTTTGACACACACTGACCTAGGCTACCACCTCGCCCTGCGACATGGACTCTGTTTACACACAGTGTAAACACACACACCGGACAGGCTTCAGCTCACTCACAGGCAAATCCACATTGACATCGGAGCCGTCCAGCAGCAGGACACGGCAGGTGATGGTGGTCCTCGCCGTCCCGGCCGCCGGGATGTGGACCGCCGCTCCCCCGGTGACCACGGCGGGCGCGTGTACGACCTGCTGCTGATGTGCCAGGAGCAGGGGGTTCCCAGTCACCCCTCCTGCCCCTCCTCCTCCCCCTCCTCCTCCTCCTCCTTTACCGTCCCGCTCGTCCCTCTCTCTCGTCTGGAAGCGGCTCCGGGACCGGCGGCTGAACGTCCGGCGCAGAAAGCCCATCATCTTCCTGATCCACAAGGTGAGGAGGTCCGTGCTGTGTCCGTGAAAACTGTTCCACACAGCAGCAGCCGGGGTCCTGCTTCTGCTGCCGCCGCCTCCTCCTCCTTCTCCTCCTCCTCGTCCTCCCCGGGGCGAGGAGTCACTTAGCAGGCACGGGGGAGACTTCAGGGCTGCCGATCAGTCCTCAGGCTGAATGTCGGCAGCAGCGGGGGGACTCCAGCCGCATACTAATGAAACTAACACACATCGACCACCGAGGCGCCAACCAGTTGATTTCCAATCATTGGGCCCGGTGTGAACGACAGGACTCCCTCACGGAAATACAAGCAGCCCTCCTCCTCCCCCTGTCCTGTCCTCTCCCGTGCACCTGCCTCCTGCTTCGCTCGCTGTTGCGCACCGACTCTGAATTCCCGGAGAAATCCCGTCCGACGCTCCGCAATGGGAGTCACACGGGGCTGGGGAGGGAGGAGGAAAGCCTTACCACCTCTGGACCGGACCCCGGTGGTTGTTGTTGCTTAATGCCACCGGCGAAGCGAAACTGGTCTACCTCACAGGTAAAAGTCAACCAGTGAAACTGGACAAACAGTGTGATCTGCGCCTGCGTAAAAACACAGCGCAGAACAAACTTCTGTTCCTCCCGACTGGCCGACCCATCAGCGCCGGTGAACCAGCGCCACCTGTCTGCCACCGGTCAGCTTGGGCAGGGAATAGGTCATGGCCGATCATTAGTGGTTCCCAAGTTGGGGCCCACGGCGCCTCAAGGGTCGTTAAAGGGTTTCCTGGAGGTCCCCACATGATGATGATGATTTATGTCACTCCATTTATCAGAGCCAGAATGCTGAGAGTCCTAGTCAAAACAAAACACCGCCATGACATTTAAATAGATAGATGAATGAATGAATGAATGAATTAATTAATTAATTAATAATAATAATAATCTATTTAATTACTCTTTTTGCAAAGATGCTCAAGTTACAGTGCAGAAGCAGTTCCAAAAATATATCAGGTTTCCATTCATGCATTTGAAAATATTATTTTAAAAAGTAGCCTAAAAGTAAAAGGACAAAGATACTTATCCAAAAACATAACAAAAGAGACACAGGGGCACCTCGGCAGTGTCTAGGAGGTCAACTGGCACCTCTTTAGCTTCCAGTTCACACTCCATACTTAGTCCATGCAGAGACTTGAGCCTGTGACCCTCCAGTTCCCGAGCCTAGTCCCTATGTCCCTGAGCTACTGCTGCCCCAAGTTATACAACATACATGGGTTATATTAATGTAAATGACTATATATACATTTCAGTACATTGGTACCATGTCCAAGGAAAGGAAAAACAAAATGATGATTATTTATCTCCCTCTGTTTATCAGGATCCAGGACTGTAGGAATAACAATATTTTATAGAATTTTTATTTTTAAAATACATATTCATTTAGTTATCTATTCAACTATATTCTCTTTCTTTTTAAATATATATTTCTTTCTCTTTTTTACGCAAATATAGTACCAGAAAGCACAAGTATTGCTAAATTATAGTATGATAAATAAATTAGACAACATTCATGGATTGTGTTAATGTAAATGACCACATATACAGTACATTTTTTACACATAGGTACCATGACAAAGAAAAAGAAAAAATATGACTAATTTGTTAAAAATAAAAGCACTGGTGCCTTTCCTGCAGCAGGCAAACACGTTCACCAGGATGATAATCAAGGAAGGGTTGCAAAATATTATTAAGAAGTTATTTAATGTAGCATTGAGGTGTTCCACGTGAAGCATGATCCTTTGTACCACTTATTTATATTTTCTGTGAAACATATGAAGGTCTATGGGCTCTCTCTACACTGCCAGGGATGCAATTATGTCTGCTGAATATTTTATTGATTTTCCATATTCAGTTTTATTGCACCTAAAAACATCAGAATCTGCCTATGAATTATTTTTATGACTGCGTGTGACTACCTGTAAATCAAAGAAAGAATACACTGTAAACTTCCCACATTTCCTATTTCCACATTAAATATACAGAAAAATGCAGAAATAAATGGGGTCAAACAAAATAAGTGACTTTCTTGGATAAGAAGGAAAAAAAATTCTAAGAGAAAGTACAATAGCACTCTGATTGAAATCAGTGTCATCAGTGTGCTTCCACCTCATGCTTACTTTCTACATTTACAAAAGAAACACACACCCCCTACTTCAGGAACTATTTGTTCGTGTTGCTAACCTATATGACATTCTTTCATATTCAGCCACCTTTCCTTTCTCTGTAACAGTCCTTTGAATAAGACTCTCCAGGTGTCTTCCACTTCCTGAGAGTAATTTTCTGGGCAATCATTATAGCTGTTGGTGTCCAGTACGTGTGTAAATTTAAAGGGAAAGTTCTGTATTTTTGAACCTGGACCCTTTTTTCATATGTCTTGGTGTCTAAGTGATGAATGGAGACAATTTTTTAATTGGTCCAATGTAATTCCTACGAGCAGTTGTGTGCCGTCAATTAACATAGGGCTACATGATATGCAATTTTTGTGATAGTGCGATTGGTGCGGCCTTTGGACCTTCTTCAAGATCAACAAGCGTATTGAGACATAGCTACATTTACCTGTTATATGGGCCACACCTTTGTTACACACCTGATGGTGATTAGGTCATGCTACACCATTAGGTTGAGCAAATCAGTCACATACAAGTCACACAGCTGACAGTGGTTGGATCATTATGCCACAGCATTATGTTGAGCAAAAAAATAATTTTGAGGCCCTCAACAGACCTAATCACGTCATCAAAGCAAATGACATATACTGCGATTGCAACATGAGTTGTGATTTTAGTAGGAATAGTAATTTTTGCATTTCACTTCCACCCAAAAAAAGTAAAAAAGGCGATGTAATTTTTGCTGAGTCCTGTATAAAACAAGCATATTCCCTTATGTCTGGAATATGATTTGTAGTCTGGAGCATCTCTGTAGCACTACAATGCTTCATTTATGATATGCTGTGACTCATTTTACCTTTTTTAAATATTGCAGCTCCTGTGATTTGGATAATATTTCAATTAATTGCACAGCCCTACGTTTACATCCACTAAAAGTGCTTGTTTTTGCCACTGACAGGCTCCAATTTTATTTTAAATGTCTCTCCTAAGGAGAAGTCTCGCTCTGAATGTCACGGAACACGGAACAAATGAAAGCCTTTATTCATCAGGGCCGAAGCACCTTGCCTGAAGTTCATTTTTTCTTTCCATGTGCTGACCCTGTCCTTCAAGAGCACCTGCGTTTTTTCCTTGAGTGTCAGCTGATAAAGACAGACCTCTAGCACAGCGCTACCTCCTTCTCAAGAGTATGACATTGAAAATCTTTAAGATAACACTAAGCTACGCTCTCTGTACTCCAACACAACTCCTCCTTGTGTTGTATCAAAGCATGCTCTCCCATCAAATAGCATTTCCCTAACGTTAACATGTAGCTCCCCCCTTGGTGGATATATGGCAAAGGCTTTGGGTAAAGTTTAGGTTACGGGAAACACTGGCAATCATCTCTCCAATTTTCACTAATGTGTCCACCGTATTTTCCTGCAACAAGTCACCTCTCACGGGATTTCACAACGAGATTCTCCTTTAACGAGACTTGGTCACAGTAACAGACCAGGAAAAGGAAACAAAAAACATTTCATTTCTGCATAGAGTCCTCTCCATAACGTTGAAGTGGCAAAACAAGCACTTTCAATGAACATAAATTGACGCTGCACGACTGCCTGTAGGGATAACATTACAGCACTCGACTGATTTAAAAAATGGTTATCTCCATTAGGCACTTAGATACAAACACATTGGGAAATATGGTCCAGGTTGAGAAGCACCAAAGTTTCCCTTTAACTGTAGACTGAAAATATGACCTCACCGCCTTCACATTCAAACCCTCAGATGTGCATCTCTTACACAAAACCTCTTGCAGATGCTGGTTTCTATGCGTCAGTCTGCTGGACACGACTGATAAAAAGCTCCTGCATCAATTTCTCACATATTTTTGTAGCAACAGTCGTCCTACTTTGTAAAAAGCATACCAGCTCCTCATGCCTGCATTATACTGTATGAAAAAAGAACTACAGAATAAGGAGAGCACACATATAGCAACACAATGAATTATGCATCATCATAAAAGAATATAAACCTGCAGAGATACTCAAATCCTCACAGCAGTATTACATATTGCTATAGTGTCTTTCTTTGAGAGCAACATTTTGTCCTAACCAGACACAGTTTGGGCTGATTTGTGATGGCGAGTTAGTTTCACTGATATGATGCCAGCTTTAGAGGCACTCAGCTTAAGGTTAAATAAGCAGACGACTCTTCACTTCAGTGAGCAGTTTCATCCTGCGAGGAAGTGTGAAAAGGTACAGAGGCTTTAAAGACACAAAGAGACACATCCTCATCTGATGATCTAATGCATGATGTTCGCTATCAAAGGAAATTACAAAGCAGACGCACAGGTATAAATCAGTGTGTTTATTTAGTGTCTTAATAATTTAAGAGTGTTGAACAGTGGGGTTTGGTGCTCCTCTGGCGGACTGCACCACCATGACCTTACAGTATCTGCTGTAGTGATCTAAAGCCTGCCTTGCTCTTCGTCTTTGGACACACAGATGAACTACAGATTATAACGATCCAGGTCTGCCTCCGCCGCTCCGTTCGATCCATCGACTGGGAGGCGTCAGTCTAAGGCACATGTAGCTTAATAAGTAGAGACAACATTCCTGAGTGGCCTCTTGGACAGAAATTAGCAGCTCACATCAGACTTACATCAGTCTCTATGGAGACCGCAGCCTCTACAAGCTTAATGCACTATCAGCAAACACTAAGGCCGACTAGGTATAAGACTCATACACCCACATTGAATCTAGGCTACACAGATCACAGACAGCTGTGCTCTGAAGCTGGTTATACTCTCATTATCCAGTCTGTGTACCAGTCTCAGAGGCGGTGACAGAGGTTAATCTGCTATAGTCCCTCCGTGGCAGTCGCCTGCAATGAGGTGAGGCTGAAACGTTAAGTGTGTCTGTTCTGGTCCTGTTGCTGATTTGGGCTATGGTGCTGTAGATCCCTTTTGTTTCTCTTTGTAGACTCGCAGAATGGCCTCACACACAAACTGGAACTGACACTGAAACACACAACATACAAAGTGTTACCAGCAGTTACACAACACTGCTGTTCTTTAAATGGTAGCACTGATTAGTTTCTTTATTTCTCCTTACATTCTATGAAAAGAACAAATCAATAATGAACTGGTCCTCTAACAGGTGCTGCCTGAGAAACCAAAAGCCTGTTTCATTGTATTCTTCTGTGCCATAGCGCTCTGCTGTTGTCCAAAAACTATTAGCTATTGAAACATATCAGTGAGCCAGCACTCAATAACAATTACACATAACACATGTGGCTGAAAGCAGAGTGCAGAGTGTACTTTTTTTTGCAGGCTGATGTGAAAGTTAGCATCACCCTGGATCCCCTCGTCAAAAAGCCACTGGGATTCTTCCATCAGGTTTTGGATGATTGCAGAAAATAAGCTCGGTGGCAAACAAAA